GAATGTGTACTGGGATTTTCCCCTTCCATATTTGGCAGTTTTCTGCATGCAGTTGATCGATACCCAGCAAATCCGTACGCATTTTCTCTGCGTGTGCCACAACGTAGAGAACCCCATCTCCGCGTAGAAATCTGGAGCCAAAACACGCGAAGTCGTAGACTTTAACCCAGACACCTGCTCTCTACGTGATTTCTCTACGTTTCACGTATAGCAGAACCTCCCTACTCTTTCTAATACTTAGCTCAAGTAGTTTCTATGGGGTTCGCCGACGGCGAAAACTCACATCACGCGGTGTAGTGTCCCAGTTGTACGTTTGCAGCCCGTTTCTAGCGAGCAGCGGAGTAATAATAAAAGCACTCCCTGGCAGAAACTCATTGTGCATATGCAACTCGCCAGCATACAGCATAATCATGGCAGCATAATCATGGCAGCATAATCATGGCAGGTTTTCGGATTGCGCGCACGCTATCCTTAGTTGTATGTAGTACAAAACGTACCTGAAACACGTGATGTGAGTTTTCGCCGTTGGAGACCCCATATGCAGAATTGCACACTCTTGGGAGCTTTATACATGTATACAGTCATGTATGTGCATGACTGTCAGCCAGTACTAGGTCAGACACAGCCTGGTATGTCTGCAGCAGCTGCCACTGAGGTATCCATATCAGCCTGAGAATACCCTCTCTCCTTTTGGAACTGTGTGATACTGTGTTACCTTCTAAACCCAGCACCCCACGTGACACCCCCCCCCCCCCCCCCACATATACAGTACAGTGGTATTGCCTACTGAACGCTAATCTACCTGTATGTACCATTCTAGATTTAATAGGCGACTTATATTATAAGGCCTTGTTTACATGTACATGTATATACAAGAACGATTGAAAAATGTTTACAATCATTGGCGTGTAAATAATAATTACTAGTATTCGGATAATTCCTAGTGTGCAATACAAGGCATGGTAACGATTGAAAACCCGTTTTTTGTCCGCTCGATTGCTTGCACAATATGCGATAAGAGCTACTCTGAGACAGATCACCGAAGCTGACCAAGCTCCAACCAGTCCGGGTCACGTAGATCTACTTACCATATCCTGTCCCTGCGATCGCTGATCCACCACAGCAGCACCAGCATGACCAAGATTATAGCTGTCAGTCTGTGTGGTAAGTGGTCCAATCGGACCTGCCTGGGCATGCTTGTCAATGCCAGTAGTACTGCCAGCATTGTGTCCCTGACCTACCACCACGTGGACTCTCAACAAAATAGCTGCTTGTAATTGTACAAGTAGCGCTATTCTAAGTGTCCTACTTCGCTTGAACAGGAACCACTTTGTTACGGTCATTGCAGCAGTCATTGTGAATTTCCCGGGAAGACAGCTAGCTGCAGGAGATAAACTGCTCTCACTACAATTCCAAGTCAGAGAAAGATAGAAGTTGAAATTCTGGCGGAAACTGACTGGATTCAGCTCACATTGTTGTATTCAATGGCACAACCGCCAATCGTCGGATCCTCTGGGGCCGCACCAGGCTAAAATGGTAACAATATCCGACTCGCCCTGCTACATACAGTGACTGTGGTAGTCTACTGAACACTATCAGCCGCCACACTTCCTCATTTCCTACACTTCCTCCTCATCGCATGTCTTCCGTTTCTAAACCCTTTCCTGTCCTTACTCTTCCTTTTGACCGCATCTCCTGGACCGATGGTGCATGGCCATTGCCGTGGACAAGCCCAGAATATACAGCAATAGCCTTTGCAGGAGCACACAGTGCAGCCTGAGTGAAAGCTCCCAGTAATTATGTACAGTGAAGTGTTGTGCTGTGCTAACCATGTTACAACATTGCTGCTGTCTTCGTTACTGGTCGAGAGTATGGTTTCGCTACAATTCCTCACTATGTACATATCATACGTATCATGGCTAGCAAGTAGCATGGCTGTGCCGACACTCTGTAAACCTTTCGGCCCATGCAAAACATAATGGTCATATCGTGTAGGCAATAGGGCCCATGCTGTCACCGTGTGATGTGATCATGGCGATACACTGTACCAGTAATATGGCAGCCTAACTCGCTTATCCCTAGGCCCTGTCTCTACGTCAGATCAGTGGGTCATTGATCAGTACAGCATTCTACAGACAGACTCAATGCAAGCACGCACCACCACCAGGCCAGGGTCACTCAGCTCAGTGTGTGTTTTAACGTAACGTAATGTCGTTAGCTTGTCCACGGCGCGGTATCGACGACAAACTGCAGTACGTTGAACTCGGATGTTGAGCCAATATGGATAAAATGAACTTGTACCTATCATATCTACATCATAATGGACTGGGAGTTCAGTAGGATGTTGGCGTTTCGATTTGTCACAATTCGTCTTCGCTCAGCCTCCCTTCTACATGGATGTTTATTACACAAACTTGGGCCTCCCAAGTTGGGTGGTCTGTTGCTTTCGTCCTCGAGTTGAAGTAAGACGGTACGGTTAGACCCGCGGCATGTCCAATTGTCTTAGTACTAGTCTCGTCATCATCCAGTAACGTTCGGTATTCTTTGTTGCCGCGGGGCACAGTAGCTCGTGCTCATCTTCTTTGCGCTTTCCCTCCCCTCTTCGGACCTTTCCTAACCTGAGCCTTCCTAGTTGGAAGGTTGTTGGTTTGCGCCTCGTGGATGTGTTGGAGCTAGGTGCCAGGCAGGTCGTTGAATGTCGCAGTACTCCCTGTCATTTTTGTGCCCCATTGTCGCACTTGCTGACTGTACACCATCTACATGAGTCGATGACATACTAATACCGTGATGTACTTACTTTGGTGGACAGTGGGTCATAACTCGTAATACTAATTTTGGTCCGGCCTTCATTTATCCACAACCAGTACTGGCTGTCTGGTACAAATCAGACGGTCATGGGTGGACTGGTGAGTCGAGTTCACGTCTTGCACTGCTGCACCGCCATTTCAGGGTTCTGGACGCTAAAGACCACCTTGAGCTGAGTATGTATCAAAGCGGAGGCCTCATGTTTTCACCGCCACTGAATCAGTGAATGGCCACGGACGCATTTCTTGACTACCGGTCTTGCAAAGTTCACGCACAAGCTAACATCAGACCATCTGAAGTAAATCTGAAAAGTAACAATGTTCATAGAGCCTAGACACAGCAACCATGTGGAAGGGATCAGAGGTGTGATACTATTATGTAACTGGTACCATGGTTACAGGTATATTGTTCTCTGATGATGGCCTCGTGCGTGAACCTCGGAGTTACATGTACAACGTGACCCTATCTTCATCCTCTTCGTGTTAACTTGTGTACTAGCAGGGAGGAGCCAACCTTCGAAACGTACATGGCTACGTACAAGTACATGTCGATGTCTACCCCATGGGTCACCTGACTGTGCCAATCATGCTCCCGTGGCCTGACACTGACTGTACACGTACCAGGAAGCTCTGTTTAACGTTACTAGTTACTTAGAGGAAGACATACCCATGCAATGGTACCATCACATCATGTGTAGGGCTCCCTAGCCTGTCCCTGATCTATGAAGAGTCGAAGACTCTCAAGTAAATTCACAACCCCATACTGCTGTAGCTAGTGTGAGTGTAGGGCTGAAACACTGTTGGTTATGGCTGGTTATGACCAGGACTCTTGATGACAATAACAGTTACAGGTATACCATTCCTACCCGTACTACCCTGGTCGAACCTGTGCAACAATCACACACCTTGAGCATGAGCTCAGTTTGAGGCTTGTCAGCATGATCACAATGGACTGCATACTCGTAATTCTTCGACACAACCAATAGCTAGCGGTTCCCATAAGCCTTGTGCTCAGCTACACTGCAGTTTTAGTTCAGATGTGAGTCCGTGTGTCGGCTACTTGCACTCCAAACATTGATTGCATGTTTGCGACAAAGACAATCGCCAAGTCATCAACACATTTTGGCTACTTCGTGGCGGGTCAGGACTTCAAGTTGATAAAGTAGTTCAGACAGTAGAACCCTCAAGACATCTTCAATTCTTGCGTTGGCTGTTATCATGGTTATGTACTAAACATGTTCTGTATGTGATGATGCCGGGAGAGCTTCCCTGCCCACAGATGTTTAGCCACGCAGCTGGTACAATATTGCGGGAGAAACTCGCGCGGCAAGATACAAGCAAAGAGCAATGCACCTGCCTCCCTATTGGACCCTAGTGGCATTGGTGCAAAGCTGGCCACGGGGCAGGTGGAGTAAGCAAATTGAGTGACACGTTGACCACTTCTGCAACACCCTCCAGCGAGTGTAGAACAATAATCACCAGGAGATTGAGTAACAATCAATAATCATTTTAGAATTGTCTGGTTTACCATTGTACTAATACCCGTAAGCTATGACTAGTCGACTGGAAGGTGATGGTGATGATACCGGCAACAGTGGACAGCATGCTAGCAGCAGTGGGTTATGTAAAGTAGATAATGGTATAATTGGTATTACTACAAATGTGGGCTCAGAGCTCCACTGATGAGACCTAGGCATGTTGAAACAGCTACAGTACAGATATCTGTATTCTGGTGATTGAGGAATGGAGTAATACTGAGTAGACGGATTACCGTATTGTACTAATGCCAGTAATGCTGATCACAGACAGCGGGCTAGTAGGGTAGCGCAGTGGTATGTAAGATTGAGAAACAAGATTAAAATCCACAGCCGTGAATTGAAAGGGTTCTTCTCCGTGAGAACAAAAGCCACTGCGCCTCCTGGCATGAAACATGCCACCAGAAGAGTGTCCTTTGAACCGCCCGGTTATCAGTTTAGCCAGCGGCATGCGCGGCCACCAGGCCGGCCATGTACTATTTTGCCAATGCTAATGTGGGCACGTGCTAGCAGGATGTAGGAGTAATGTAGTGCCACTAGTGGGCCTACAAACCACTAACCACCCCACCACTCACAACTAACTGTAATACTTCGTCATGCACGAATATGTGCAGTATGTATAGTATGCAAAGTATTGTGCTGTACATGTATATGCGATGCATTGATTGAATTATTATTCCCTCCAACAGAGCGTTCACGCCGACTCAACATCTTCATCATGACATCAACTAGTACATGTACTAGTAGTACAATGTAGTAGGAATTCGTACCTACAATAGGCTACATGTACGTTGTAAGTCTTCGCAAAATTAATACACTGCAATACTAAACACTCCACAGCATTGATAGGCATGCTCATACATACTACAGTGGTCCCTCTATAATCCGGCACCATTTGTGCCACGAAAATCTGCTGGATTAGGGAGGGTGCTGGATTAACAAATCTGATCTACTGCTGCAATGTGCATGAAGAGGACATTTGGCTACTGAAAATTGTGCCGGTTTATCGAGGGTGCTGGATTATAAAGTGCCGGATTAGAGAGGGACGACTGTAACATAGTTTGTGATGAAGGTTGGTTGGTAGAGTCTACATGATGTACTATTGTACTGGCGTGGGCACATGGGCAGGGCGTGGGCACATGGGCAGGGCGTGGGCACATGGGCAGGGCGTGGGCACATGGGCAGGGGAGAACGTGGGCACATGGGCAGGGCGTGGGCACATGGGCAGGGGAGAACGTGGGCAGGGGAGAATTCAACTGTGCACTTACTACTTGTATACATGTACATGTACCGGTAAATACTTCAAGTACATGTACCATGTGTACCGGTGCATAAGATATTGAGTCACGGCTTGCTTTCCTTTCCTCTTGCCTGTATTTCACCTGAAGAGAAAGCATGAAAGTGTACTTGTCTCAGTGAAGATCATGATTGTTGTCGAGGAGCCTGGAGTTTGTGCTGAGTGAGATTGAGTGCACTTACATACGTGTACATGTACGCATCTTTGTATGCTGAATATTATCCATGACTATATGCATGTGGCAAGATCCTTCTAACAATTACCAGGATGCGTCCACTTATCTCGTATCCCTCTCCAACATCACCCTCAGCCCTAGGCTATAGGCTATGGCCCCAGTGGCAGTGACAGAGCTAAGCAGAGTGCTTACTCACCATGCAGAGACCCACAGCACTGAAGACACTGAAGACAGTGAAGAGAGCAAGCACAGATCTACATTGTACATGTACATTGTAGCTGCTCATGCTGCATTGCTTTGCATGACTAAGCCACTTCTCCACAACCACACTCCACAGTGCAAATAGAACAGGAGCTACATGTACATGTACATGTAGGTATCCTGTAGTATGCCTGCAGTGAGTATGTAGATCACAGCACGAGGACGGTACAATAGCTCCATATACACATACATGTACACCAGCACGTATGAAGGGTATCAAGGCCAAGGGTAGAAACGGCACTGGAAATAACATTTGCATAGACTGATTATGATTACTAGTAGCCCATTCAGCTACCCTATTGCTGGTAGTAGATGATGGCATTAGCCACATACAAGTACATGTATTGTCAATGTAGATTCTACGAGCAAGAAGAGCACTCCCAGTCACACTGTGAATCACCGGCAGAGACACTACACCATACATGGTACACGGGGAAAGAAAGCACCGGGCTGCTATGCGGTAACAGAACAATACATGTACGGGCACTCGGTAGTCCTTTATTTCCCTCCTCGATCCTGCCCGGATTGGACCGCCTGTAGAGTGCTCTGTGGGCAGGGCAGCCTTCTGAAGCTTCCGAGTCCGGACACGCCTGCTAATCACCACGTCACGGTTTTGTCTGTTCACGTGATGCCCGAGAACAAAGACACGCGAATATACCGTGTGCACGAGCAGGCCGTCAAGCTCTACATAATTGTAGCTAGACGTAGACGCCATGTTACCCGCTAGCCGCTGTGTATAGTGGAGTCGGCTGCAGACACTAGTCACCACATATGAAGTGTGTAGTTGCGGACCTTCGGCGTTGGTCGGGTCGGAGACGCTCGACATCGAAAACTTGTATCCACCACGCGGACAGTTGAGTTAGTGTGCGTGAGATGGTGTCGAATAAAGTCTGGAAAAGTGGACTAAGTGACAGCTAGTGGCTCTGAATGGGTCGTGCCTGCTGCCTGCTAGAAGTTAGTGTCCTAGAAGACACAAACGAAACAGTTCATTGCCCTCAAATCCAGTTCCTCTTTGCCTAGCGAGCAGCAGAGTTTATCGCTGGTTTGTCTTGGTACGCTACACAGGACAAGGCAGAAGCACTGCGCTGATCGTGGTCTGGCCACCTTGGTCTTCAGTTTCAGGTACGTAACGTGCTACATCACTATGTACGGAGTCCGCTTCTGCATGTACGTTCTTTGTCGGTTTGTTACTTCTCATTGGCATCATTGTGCTCCTGTTGCCTGGGTAGCCTGTGTAAGGGTAGTGACTTATACTTATACATTTTAGTTTACAAACGAAGAAAGGAAGACGCCGTGTACGTGTATCGGTGATGCGATTACCCATTACATGTATGGCAGGTGTGCATTGCCGGCATTGGGACATGAGTTTCCGGTTTTGTTACATAGCCATGGCACTGCGACAGTGCAGCCACTGCCAGCAATACAACAATGCAAGTATCAACTTCACGTACTACCAATTTTTAAACGGTCCCTGCATTTACAAGCATTCGCAGTCATGCCAATGTGGACCTGAAACAACCTTAGTAGATAGGAGAGATTTGTGAGCGCGATCCTCAGTCCGTATTTCTAACAATAACAGAGGAGACTTGCCGAGTGGCACTTTCGTTGCAAACTCTTTTGTGTGGTGCAAAGACAGTAAAAGAGATTCCCGGAAACTCTGAAACTCTGAGATGTATGCAGCTAACAACTCGTTCTAACTTCTTTGCTAGAAATCTCCAGTGTATTGACTCCGTGAGCCTGGCTAGAAGTATCACTCTTGAGCTCATGCCGGGCTTCACGGTGGAGACTTTTTGTGGAGATCGCAAACGTTAACAGTGGATGGCTAATGAACAGCCTAGCTAAGATAGTAAGAACAACTTTGTGTTCACGCTCTCTCAGCCTTGCATATTCACGGCATGGAGGCATACTGAGTACTGGCTGACTGAATAGGTGTGCAGTAACTGTTGCCGGTAATCATCATGATCATAGTTTCCCGTGAACAGTCTGGGCAGCCTTGCTCTAATCGCTGCACTGACCCGCGGCCACTTCCTGGTACTAGTACTAGTACTGGTACTTGTATTCACCATACATGTCCTACGGTACCTGCATGCGTCACTAAATTCAAGTAAATAATAATTGGTTATGCAAATGCCTGCCCCTGATGATACAATTTTAATCAAATGCTGACTGAAGCCAAACCGGCCATGACCCACAAGTTGAAACGATGTTCATTCCCAGCACTCGTTCTGTCCACTCCGATGATTTGGGCATTTGTGCAGCTTGGTTATTATTATTATTATTATTCACACATATCCGCCGGATAAGTACGCGTGGCCCATGCACCATGGCATGGGGACCCACGAATACAAACCAGCATATGTTCCCTCAGCAATACAAGCAAGCAAGCAAGCAAAGATAAATGAGAGCCCAGGCAGCGAAAACAAAATGAAGAGAGATGAGGACATAGGCAACGAAAACAATTCCAAAGCGTAGCCAGTAGGCCTTTCCGGATTATGTGTTTGCATATTTTTGCATTTTGGGGGTCAAAATGCATTTTGTCCATTTTGACCCACTTTTGCCTAGTTTGGGCCAGGGAGTCGTAAAATACCGGTATTTTACGACTCCCTGCAAGCGATAGGTACTTCACGATCATCATGAATGATCACCATGGTGCCAAATGTCACGCGACTAGCTGTCGCCATTTTGTTACCATGGCAACGGTGGCATTTTTTGTGCTTTTTGGGTAAATTTTTGCATTTTCTTTAGAAAAAAATTTGATTTATAGGGGTTTTTCAAAACACTTTCCATTTCCATTTTAGACCAAGAAAAAACACATAATCCGGAAAAGCCTAGTAGCCAGGGATTGAATGTGTGCATCAAGTGCCACAGCAGCAGCCAAGAGTGTGCAAACACTAAAAAAGAAGATCAGCTTGGTTGGCCTTAGCAAATAATTACATGTACCAGTACACGTCATTGTGTTGACATGACATGTATTGCGCTGGCATTCCGGATCATACCTGCAGGAAATGCACATGTACCGGTAAATGTACATAATTATGCACATACCACTATGGCATGGTTACCACGATTAGCCATGAAGGAGACTGATGTCACGATTGTAGAGTCCTAAATCCACCACTGTAGCGAGTTAGTATTGCATGGTGCTGTGGCCGCAGTGTTAGAGAGTCACCCACTATTGCTACAGACTAATGTACTCGGATGGAGAGCCAAGGATACATACTTGTGTACTGTGGGTACGCAGTAGGGCTAGGCGGATAATGCTCGCCGAAATCCCTCATTCTGCTTTTCGGTCTGCTCAATATTCTGCTCATGAAAGTGCATTTTCTGCTGAAATTTCTGCTGAAATCCAGTTATGTAAAAATACACTTGGCACACATAATTGGGTTCAGGATCTAAAAAGATGAGTCATGTGAAATACTAGACAAGGCATTCTAGTCTTTATGATCAGTTCTCACCAAGTATATTTGGACTGACTGCGTTAGCCAGAGGAAATGGCTGTGCTGAAGGCTGGGGAAATATCACACAAAGAGGTACATGTAAATGGGGCTGCTAAAAGGCAATAACGTATGGACAACAACACAAGACATTCTAGTTTTTATGATCTGTTCTCACCAATGGACGGATTATACTGCCGTAGCTTCCGGGAAACTTCATTGTCAACCCTGGCAGCATGATTTGATTTGAATCTTTTCACACAGCGGGCTTTTTCACCGAAGGTCGAAAATCGCTGGAACTGGGCTCTACGACTCGTAGACTTCTGCCACTGGCCTGCCATTCAAGGCTGCTACCTTCCGCAAAGTAACAGTTCCGGCCACATTTGGTGGATGGATGGACTGCGTGTCGAAGAACGCGGCAAATCTGCTGCAAAAGCAAAACGTCGCACGCCAATTCCGTGGTAACTGTCATTTGACATGGCAGAGAATGCTTTTTCAGCCCCCGTTCTGCCGAAATATGCTCGACCCCCCAAACAGGCGTTTTCTGCCGAAAATTCTGCCGGCATTATCCGCCAAGCCCTAGTACGCAGTGTGCAGTTAGGGCGCGCTCACACTGCGACCAAAACCAGCGTCCATGCGGCCATGCGGCCAAGTTGCATGGCAACGGCATGAACTTGACCAAAACGTCGCGGCCACGTTTCAAATCGTGACCGCGACCTCCGGAGGGGGGTGCCACGACTTGGCGGCAACATGATCGTAGACGTGAAACGTATTTGTGTACAACCTGGCCTGAAGTATGTTCAATTTCTCAAATTCCGGTGTGTTGATTCATGAAAATCGGTGGTTGTCGATGTCACCTCGACATTTGCACATTTTTAAAATTTTGTAGTTGTGGTCCTGCACGCACGCACCGCCAAATATGCATTCTTTGCCCTTTTTGGACGATGTCGATTTTGTTTTTGTTTTTGTAGTTGCTTCGTTGTGATCGGGTCAGTGACCAATTTCTACAGTGTACTCGTTCAATACGATGGCAGCTTGGTCTGGCTTTTCGGTTTCGGAAATTATCTTTCTCTACTTTTCTGCGATGATGGAATGCCGACATTTCAGTTACATGTCATCGGAAAATACAGTTCTCATTTCGGCAACAGACGAAAGAAACCACTACCGGACTTTCCACTGCACTGGCACTTGCTCTGACCACGAGGTCAGGAAAGCGAAAGCGCTTGGATGTCAGCGGCAGTCCCTCAAGAGTCCAAACCAACCTGATTGTATGAATTATTTTCGTCGACTTCAAGAATACGAGCCACGAGGCACTTCCTCCAACATGCAACATGCGAAAAATTACATCCAAAACGGGCCACAACTTTATTAGGAAACGCACGAACTCTTTTGGATACGAACTGCAATTCGTAAAGTTTGTGTGACAAGTTCACGTCTACGCGTGTACGAGGCCTAGTGTGAGCACGACTGCCACGTTTCTGCGTTTTGCTGACGCATGGACGCGTGCTCATGATCGCAGTGTGAGCGCGCCCTAAACCATGTCAGATCAAGGCTACATGATGGAGCAAATTGAATGGTTTCGTGCACTCTTGATCTGATGTACCGTTCAAGACCGAGTCCTATGGCAATTTGTGCGGATACTAGTATTCTAGGTGGCCAACTTGCTTGCATTTTGTATAAGTTGAGTTGCCGGTTGCTAATCGACAAGCAACCCATCCACATTGTACTTGTACAACCCATTATAGACGTTTGCCTGCCCCTAGGCTATTGTGCATATTTAGCTCAGTTTCAGTCTGTTGAGTACGGATAGTCCTCTCTTGCAGCTTGGATGGACGATAAGATAGCAGCCGGCCTATGAGATAGACACGTCTGTGCATGCCTATGAGATAGACACGTCTGTGCATGCCTATGAGATAGACTCGTCTGTGCATGCCTATGAGATAGACACGTGACGTCTGTGACCTGTACGGTACTGCTGAACTGGAAAGTGCTGTGAAAGAAAATGGAAACTGTGCCTTGAATTGCCTTGTCCAGTGAGACCTGGCTAGCTAGCAGGAGATTGAGGCAGCGACCATGTTGATGTTGTGTGTGTGTGTGTGTATGTGTGTGTGTGCGCATGCGCGTGTGTCATGTATCCTACTCACGTACAGTGATCACGTATAGTGACGTCATCTAGGGACTGTGACCACAACTGCAAGGATGGATTCCGAAGCAGAATTCCGCCAGCCCATCATGCAGAGCATGTCTGTAGTTAGCAGTTCCTCTGTGCAGCTTACACCACGACTCATCATTGTGCCACCATTCGAGGACCAAGACAATATTACCAACTACAAGAAGCGGGTAAGCTGCTCTACGAAGACCATGTCTAAGCTGGCCAAGCTTACAAGCAGGGAGTAGTAATATACCGGTATTGTACTACTCCCTGTAACAGAGTTATGATCATGGTTAAAGGGGTAGTCTTTCAAGTGTACCAACACGAGTTTCCTTCTTGGAGCCCCTACTCTTCCCATTGCTGTATTGTCCTGCTACCATGGCTACTGAAGTACTTCTCTCCCCTCTTCTTACCAGTGCTGTATGTAGGTTGTGTCATCAGCAAACAAACAAAAACAGTCCTGTGACTCAGCTGTACTAGCAAGTCCTGTGACTCAGCTGTACTAGCAAGTCCTGTGACTCAGCTGTACTAGCAAGTCCTGTGACTCAGCTGTACTAGCAAGTCCTGTGACTCAGCTGTACTAGCAAGTCCTGTGACTCAGCTGTACTAGCAAGTCCTGTGACTCAGCTGTACTAGCACACACATGTACAACAAGGACATGTGGCACTGTACTACTTGAAACTGTGGCAACAACCGAGACCATCACGACATAGCTATATAGGCTGATGATAACTTCTAGTAGTAGACTCAGTCAGGTCGATTTACATGTTGTGGTACATGTACAATATTCTGTTGCAGCTGACTGAAAGTCACTTGTATGCCTGTTGTCCATTGTAGATCAGCAGTTCCATCTCACACCAAGCTGAGCCTGGTCACGGACCTTCTATTGAAGAGATTGAAGAAGGTGACGAGACTGATGGAAAGCTTCTTGAGGATCCATCGCCCGAGTCTGAAGCCTTCCCCAACCTACGCAAAGTGTATGTAGAACTCTGGGTACTATTCACTTCTCCCGTGTTTGTCCATCCCGGCTTACTCGGATTTAGTAGAGTATCGATGTTTCCTGGTGTTTTTGATAAGGAGCCAGGCGTTCGAATCTCTTGCCACCCTAGCAACAGCAACCTATGTGTATCCATAGGGATAACCTCAGTGACTATACCGTACTCCAGCAGTGCAGTTACTGTAACATATACACTTGAAGTAGTGATAGTAGTGAAAAGAACTTTGACTGATGCATGCGTACTGACTCCTGCTGATCATACCACTGCATACATGACTTTGTCTTCCGTAGGTTCTCCTCACGGGCAGAGCTGGGAAAGTTTCTTACTGAAAACCTCTACTTTCAGCTACTGGTTGTCTTCCTGGTTGCTGTGGATGCAGTGATTGTCATTGTGGTGGACTTACACCTGACAGGTAGGTTACTAGTATGGGTATATCCGATCACGTGACAGGGGTGAATATGGTCGGACATACCACAGTTCCAGTATCCTAGGGACTACATTGTATGTCTGTGATGGACAATTGCAGCTTAGTGGTGACGTACTCATACTTTGAATTAGCTCATAGCATGATGTCGGAAGCCGTCAAAACAACATGCACTTCAGCATTGGATCTTCCATCCACTGCTCCCCTGCCCGGTAGAAGGCCCACTATGTTAGTCTGAATATGCCCCACTCCCTCACCACTGACTATCACCTAGCAAGGATCCCCTCCGGACTGCGCTTAGTGCCCTTCGGCATGGTCACTGCCTGTTTCCCTGTGGTTGTCATGGTCACCGCCTGTTTCCCTGTGGTTGTTATGGTGATTTCATTGGACCTGACCATTCTGCTATCCGCTCTCTGTTTCCAAGTAGGCGGGCAAAACCTTTCAGTGATGTGGTCTTCCCGACCACACTCAAAACACCCCCCCCCCCCCCCTCCCCCCTCTCCTCCACCCACCATTTCAAGGCCGGGTCACCCATCGGGGTATTCTCCCAGAACGTCTCCTCCCTAGCTGCTTTGCTTGCCTCGCCAGGCCTTCAATCAGAGGATTCAGTGCCCAGGAGTAGTACTGTGACGTCATTATGGTATCCATCCTCTCCCATGCATCCTCCTGACATCAACTACTGTGGCCCAGTGTGCACTAGCTGCTGTGTTATGCTGGGTTCAAATCCCGCTGTTGGTACCTTCTTTTGCAACATTAGTGACTAGGCTATGTTTGTCCAGTGACTGATTTATGATTGTACATATCCCAACCTAGACGAGACTTGCTCTCTGTAATTGTGGTTGCTCTGTGGTTGCTCTTTGCCGGTATGCTCTGTGTATGCTGTGTGTGTGCTATTGTATAATGGCTATGGTTCCTAGCTCACGACGAATGCCATTCCAACTCCGATTGTCCTACGGGAGAGAAACATTTGGACGATCATGATCACCTGAAGTACTGCAGTGTCAATGTGAACTATACCAAGTGTGCATACTACCATGGTCACCGTCAGTGTGTAGCAGGTGAGGCGATCATATCACGGAGGCCATGGTGACCATGGTGACCACTGACTAGTCCTGACTATAACACCTAACACGGTGGCTATGCAGACAAAGCTAAAGAAAGGGGAGAAGAGACACACTTTCACCACCTTTGCTTGGCCATGTGCGTGATCTGCTGTGACAATGTAACAGTCAATGTTGCTATGGTTAGTGGTCAACATTGAAGCAGTTGGTGTATACTGTGCTAGTACACATTTCTAGCCCATGAACATTCAGTTGAACTGATAGTAGAAGATGAAAAGTGAGTTGTCATCAGTCACTAGTCTAACACACTCTTCCTTCTACTTGTTTGTAGAATACACGCCTGAAGACAGGACCACCTTGGACACGCTTCACTACGTCGGATTGGCTGTTTTGACACTCTTTATGATGGAGGTAAGTTGTGAACCTTACTAACACCATAGTGGGACGGTATTATTGGTTCTAAGAGATTGCAAGTGTACGCCATTGAAATTTACACCATTGTGTGTTGATGGAACTTCAGTTTATTCCTTGCTGCAGGTCACAGTTAACACACTGTATCTGTACTCGTATTGGTAGATCATCAGTGTGGTCTGCTACTAAGGCTATCACAATAACTAATACCAGGCTGCATGGTCCTGTCCTATGGTTTTCCATGCTGGTACTGATTTCCGTTTTGCTAGGTGCTGTTGCGCATCTTTGCACTTGGAAAGGATTTTTTCAAGAGAAAGCTTGAGGTGAGCAAGGCATAATTATTCTCGGAGGCTGTTATTGCATTGTATCTACATGTGCATGTACATATGTACAGATAATGGTAGATGTATTTCAGGACCGTTGAACTAGTGGCTTGTTACCAGTTTACATGGCACTGAGAGCAAAAGCAGAACTGTGCCGGAGCGTATTGGCGGTCTCCAGTTTTAAGTCAAGCTGATCAATGCATGCTGTTACTGTACTGCTACTCCTACACATGTACTGCCCATGCATACACCAGCATCACACACGTATGCCAATGGGCCCTGCTCATAAGTACGCTTCGTTGTGTCCTGTGTGTATAACTATCACTGTGGGCCGGACTGGGCACGGGGTCATGTGCTACTACAGCTAGTGCTGGTGTCAGTGATGTAACAGGTATGTTATGTATCCATGGTAACTAGCTGACCAGTCTGATCTTGATCTCACTGTGAGTTGGTTGCAGATCTTTGATGGACTGTTGGTGCTTGGCTGCTTCATATTCTACATTGCTTATCGGTAAGCTGTGTTAGTACAACATGACGATGTACTCCACTGACCAGGCCAAAACATATGGCTGGGTAGAATGCCGAAATCCAAGATCCATTGGATTGCTGGGCTAAGCAGTGAAGAGTAGTTTTGCTGTTGACATACACACAAGAAAATGTATGATCGTTTACGACACGTCTCTAATCGTAAGATCACGGTATGGGCATGTACACTATAACACTGCTGCTGTGGTTTCCACCAAGCACATTACCTAGCACATTACCTAGCACATTACCTAGCACATTACCTAGCACATTACCTACCACATTACCTACCACATTACCGGAAAACAAATTCTCTCTTCTTTGTTCTTCTTTGCTTTTAGTATTGTTGTGCACCACCATCATCATCATCACACACCTGTAATCATATAATCTGTCTGTCTGTCTGCCTGTCTGCCTGTTTGGTCTGTCTGTCTATCTGTCTATTTGCCTGTCTGTCTGTCTGTTTGCCCAGTTCGTTCTCTCCTTCGATTATAGAACTATTGTTTAAAAATGTACATTCTCTGCCATGTTTTACTCCATACAGGATTCAAGAGCCGTTCCATGCTGCTGCTGAAGCTGCTGCTCTCATAATCCTGTTGCGTGTCTGGCGTATGAAGCGAATCGTCAACGGTAGGTGGTGCTTCAAAGTGCACGTACATTACATGCTAGCAAGAGTACATAACCCGGGGGGTTATGTACTCTTGATGCTAGCAACAATTACATTGCAGTGAGCACAGTGATTTCACGTGTAATGCAATTTAGAGAAAAGAGTACATGGAAGCTGGAAACTGCTGCAATTAAAAAAAAAGACGCAATGGCCCAGCTGATTCCCCAGTATGTGGCTGCAAACACGTTGGCAGTACATCACGCCGGACCCCATGTGCAGACTTGCATACTCGGGGGGGGGGGGGGGGGGCTAGCAGCTTCATATGCTGTGAATATAGCCGGATGGCCAGCACAATTGGATTGGATGAATTAAAAGATCCGGGATTTTTGCCTCTCAACCTCCTTCTCTGCATGGTCAGGTATTACACGGGACTCTCAGAAACGCAACCTGGGAAAACGCCGTCTGCTGCAACAACAACTCAAGATTTACAAAGAAAGAGATGATATCCTATGTGAAGAGCTGAAGACCCTCAAGGTAAGATTGTTCGTGCTAGAAGGCTGTAGTAGCAGTAGAAGCCCGGCATTTGAGTACCAGTGGTACCAGGGAGTCGTAAAATACCGGTATTTTACGACTCCCTGAGTGGTACTGTACATACTAGAGTACAGTGATGTGGGACAAGTACAGTCCAGACAATGAGTAGAAGGACAAGTACAGTCCAGACAATGAGTAGAAGGACAAGTACAGTCCAGACAATGAGTAGAAGGACAAGTACAGTCCAGACAATGAGTAGAAGGTTCGATGGACTTCTCGTGTGTTCTGGGTGGCTATAAGCTAAGGTCACATCACTTGCCCAACATCACTGTGTCGTACTGTGTGGGCGGCCATATTGGCTTGCTTCGTCGATAGCTCTGCAATACAACAGACCGGGGCCCAGACAGACGGTGTTTGCCAAATGTCTGCCAGCATATTATGTACATACCACTGAACAGCAACACAGTCATGTAGTTCAAAATCCGAAATATGTCCCTTTGTAGGACAGGACCCTGGGGAGCAGACCATCAGCATCAAGATGGTGATCAGGTCTATCTATAATGTGTATGGTCCTTTGCCATGTGTCGTCCACCTGTGTGACTTGCAGGAAGAGGTACGCTGTTTCCGTGCCCTGGCAGAGAAAGCAGAGAAAGCAGAGAACCCGACATCTGCACCAATCGAGTCCCGCATGTAGCAGTCCAACAGCGCAGTACAGAACTACAGTACACTGCAATACGGTACACAGTAGAGTACCAATATGCTGTACTGATATGCTGTACTGATATCCTGTACCGATATGCTGTTGGTACGGCCATGCAAGCAAGGCACAGCAATGGCATTACACTGCATAACGCTCTGGTAGCTAGAAGTGCACATGCTTAGTCACTGTATCGGGTACACTTGCGTCATCTAAACTGCATGTTCAGTTTGTCTTCAACATTCTAAGTCAATAGCCACACGCGTGAAATAGTCTGCCTTGCAACGCCACACAGTCACACACGCACACATACTGATCATGTCTCCCCATAGTCAAACACAGTAGACATACAGTGTCACATAGTGTTATAGCAGAACCACAAACAATACACAAAATAATAAACGCTGCACTATCTCAGACTTCAGCAAGCATCTGTTTTCCTTCCGAGCTATTGTTAGATGTTCACTTCACATCCAAGACCTGGCAATGAACCTGGATCATTTACGCTGACTTAAATGCATGCACGCTATACCTGTTCTATACCAGTTCTCTTCCATAACATTATTCGAACATTTTCAATCACAGTTGAAACACCATGGGTATCTGTGTGCTGCTGTAGTTGAACACACTGGCACCTGTTGGCCGCAGTTAGCGGCACATGGATGAAGAGTCCACACTGCATTGTGATAACACTGGCAAGAAGAATAATCAAAACTATGCATTGTTGATCATTGTTCATGCACATGTACAGGCGTACAGCTACATGTACTTGCACTTGTAGTACCGCTAACCAGTATCGCCAAGAGGACATAACCCCCCAGAGTGTGCAACGCCTGATCCAGCTCTGCATAGGGTCTTGGTCGAGCGGAATCGGATCTTTGCGTCATAATACCGTACACATCTGAGGGGAACCCGGGGAGTCGCGGGTACTCTTGGATCAAAAACAATGGTGCCCTGCCTCGAGACCGGCCTTGCGTTGGTGTGGAGTGTACGCATGACATCCGAAGATCCGATTCCGCTCGACCAAGACCCTATGCAGAGCTGGATCAGGTGTTGCACACTCTGGGGGTTATGTACTCTTGGTATCGCCAAGAGTACTCTTGGTATCGCGTTATAGCACTGCACCTGTGAACACACATTCAGACCACTAATAGATGTTGATAGAGCAAAGAGTAAATACAATCCCAGGACATTATCCCGTTGCTGGCGCATGCACGTGGTACGTTTGTGGTTCATGCGTGCCCAAACACGCATCCTAGACTTTCACAGAAAACAGCAAATTGAGTCGTAATTTAGGAGCTGCATCTGTGCCTTGATCCTAGAGGGTGGTGGCGTTTCTGCAGATATGGAAAACTAAGGCGAACTGAATCTCACACGAACTGTAAATTTGTTCAGCTTGTGAATTGTTCAACCCTGCCAATCAAAGTGACTGGTATGTACGCTAGTACACGGCAGAAAAATGAGGACATATCGGAATTTCCATTTCGGCACATTTCCATACGCATGACGCCCCAAAGCTAGCATAAGATACACACGAACAAGTGCCAGTTATGAACACAGCTTTAGTGACCGCAGTCACAAGCACACGGCTCATTTGTATTCCAATAGTCAAGTATGGCTAGCTCAAAACTGGTAGCCACAACTCTGAAAAGGCACAATAATAAATATCATAAAAAGAAGGTTTGATTCGGCATAACGTTATTATCGCCAGTTCTATCAATAAACAGCTGGGACAAATGGGGGGGGGGGGGGGGTATGTACATTGGAGAACTGTTAGAGCGACACTAAGCCCAGCCGTCGCATGCTGTATTACTTTCTAAAACAAAGATTATGTAAAATGGTGTTTTACCTTGACATGCACCCTACAAGTAAAATACAGACTAACAGAAGTATACACACATCTTACAACACTAACAAAAGTATACACACATCTTACAACACTAACTATACACAAACAGAACACAATACATGCACATGCACATGCACATGCACATGCACAGAACTGAACAGCAACTAGCAAGACAAGCCAACGTCCATAGCAGTGACGGTGACAGCAGCAGCAGCAGCATTATCGTATGTACACAGCATAAGTAGCAGAGAGAATATTTACACTATATACCACCGCACTCAATCTACACTTCTCCACCGTACCACATCCCAAGCAGGAACTGGTCTGCTGCCAGAGTGTATTGCACTGATCACATACACTAACAGAAATGAAAGCCAGCTGAGTTGAACGCATTCAGGATCCTAAGGGGAACAACAACAAAAGAACACATGAGCACATTTCTGAGTTAGAGCAGGTTGATGTCAGCAAAGAATCAGCAAAGAAGTATGTCATGCTCGGGTATTTCCACGCACACTTCACTGTCAGGGCTCTCATGAATTAACTACAGCACAAGGTACGTTCGGGCCTGGTTAAATCTGGCCTTGGAACATTTAGTTTTCATTGCTGATAGTATGTGCCGGGCCGGTTCTACGACTGGCACATGCTCCAGCCCAAAACAATGGGAGAACCGGGCCACCACATACTACTATTGCTTTCAAGTTCGGCCTCATTTTCTCTGTGCTGCGCTGTTGAGTACACAAAGGACGAAACAGTTCTGTCCGCAGATTGAGCACAACACAATTAAAAAGTTCCCAAGGCAGAAGAGAGGATATGCTTACGCTAGGAAGTCATCGACATCCAGTGTCCTTGCTCGCTTCTCGGCGTATCCAGATTCTGTCAGGATCTCCAGTACTTTCTCCTTTACATCCATGTCTGGCGGAACAGGCTGGTACACACGTACAAACACAGAATACATTATTTGCATCAAAACCAACACATTGGGAAACAATAGAACAGGAGAGTACATTCCCCTCAGCAAGTACAGACCACTCACCAATAGATACAGCCCATCAAGATTTCGAACTGCAAACTGCTAGTACCGTAAAGTACCGCGAGAGCGCCCCACCTTGATTTTACAGCCAGGGAAAGGAAAATCGTATGGCAGAGTGCAACGAAGTTTGTACGGTGTGGGAACCTTAGTGTACTAAAGGTAACACAAAGCAAGTTTTTGTGTGGAGCTCGTGTCCACTAGAAGGTACGGATTGTCTGCAGAACGTGCAATATGTGTACAAAGTTCGTGTCGTATGACCTACAGACAGGAGACCACCTCCACAATACGACCACGGAAGGACGATATGGTGGGGCGCTCTGGCAGTACTTTACGGTACTACATGTACATGTACAGTGGTGTTCTTTGGAGCATAATTTCGGTTCTATTCACTCAATCTGCACAATCTTGGGCTTCCGGGAAAGATCTCCGTGAGAGGTCGATCATGATAGTCAGGATTCTGTATCTCCCCAGTTACAGAGCAGCGACGGTACGAAAAATGACCCAGATGTGTCCAATTGCATACTGCTCAAGCCATTTCATTTTCCTTGATTACTGAGCTCTGATTTTTTTACGCTGTCCACTATTGCGAATATTTACAAGTGAAACCCATGCAAATTTGCGTAAATCACTGTGACGAAAAGTTGTAAAATTCTCATTTCTTGAGTCGCACTGCGCGGAATTGAAGATCGCGGCTCAACTTACAAGTGATTTATCTCAAGACACCATTGCTCACAGCGCTCCACGTATTGTTTCTACCCACAAATCTGTTTTCTCTTCGACCTGGATATGTGCATCGTTGAATTTGAGCAAGATTTGACTGAGTTGCAATGAGTTGGTGCTTTGCATTCAAGTATGAGGCGGCTTTAAAAGGGACAACCCTGTGTCTATTCCCATTTCCATCATACACACCAGGGATGAATTTATCCTGTATCGCATCGCAGTTTGCGATGCAAAATCGATCTAACTGCTACTCAAAATTCACCGTGACTCGCAGAAAATTGCGATACATACAGACTATCCATGCCTAGCCTGCGCTGTCAAGTAACACGTATACAGGGCAGTGTAGGTGGTGCAGGTACTCTCAATCTGCATGCGTGCACATGTATGCTTCAGTCTTTTTTTGCAAATTGGCTTTCAGGCATCACTCTCAAGAAGGACAATGTTGTAAACACCCAGCCTTCAAAGAAAAATGCTAATCAAAATCAAAGACGGCTACACAATTGTGATTTCATATAGCAGAAACTGCTATGCAAAAATATCACAATAAATTCATCCCTGCACACTGTCATGGCATGTGAGTATCATCGTAGGTGCTATCCATTCGCTACCAATTTCAGTTAGATGGACTACATTCCACAAATCGTTGCACACACTCTCAAATCATCGTCTCTATGGCAACAAAAATGCCACGGCTTTACGTTTGTGATATCCATAGCTTTCCAACGGTGTTACAGAGAGTGGTGTCACTGAGGTTGAAATTGAGTTGAATCAAGTGACGATATCTTGTAGAACATGTACATGCACACACACAGATGAGTACAGTACTTTCTGAGAGAGATGGAGACGTAGAGAGAGAGAGAGAGAGAGAGAGAGAGAGAGAGAGAGAGAGAGAGAGAGAGAGAGAGAGAGAGAGAGAGAGAGAGAGAGAGAGAGAGAGAGAGAGAGAGAGAGAGAGAGAGAGAGAGGAGAGAACATAAATGGAGCAACTCCACTTACAATACTGTTCACAGAACAGTGGACTTTGTAATTCTTTTCAAGCATGTCCATGACGGCGGAAGACCTATCGCATACCAACAACAAATTCAAGAAAATGTTCCATCAGATCACTGCACTAATCTGAAGAGAATGCACTGAAGTACAGCAAACAATCGCACAAGTCAGTGCAGGCATGTACAACACATCACAAGACATCAGAATCTCGGCAACAAAAACCACAATCACCAGCTGCTGCTACCGCACCAACAGCATCACCAACAGCGGCAGAAACAGCGGCGGTGGCAGCAGCAGCAGCTGCGGTGGAGACGGCAGCAGTAGCAGCAGCACCACCATCGCCGCAGCTGCTGCTGGTGGTGGTGGTAGTGGTGGTGGCAGCAGCAGCAGCCGCAATAGGAAAGGAAGCAGCTTTGTCTGCTTCGGCTAGATAATGACAAAACCCATCGCACACATGATGTAGTCTACCGTTAAATGCTCTAAAAAGCTAATACCTGAATCCAGCACTCAGTGTCTTGTTCTTCCTGACAAATACAACACGTACCAGACCATCCCACTCCTGTACACATGTACACACAGAACACACACACACCACACGTGTGCACGCACACACGCACACACACACACACACACACACACACACACACACACACACACACACACACACACACACACACACACACACACACACACACACACACACACACACACAGAACATAGAACACAGAAGATGCAGTCAGGACACACAATACTGTACATGGCACACAGAACACAACAGATGCAGTGAGTGTGAGTATCAGAGTGAGTGTGAGTGTGAGGAAAAACACTATCAAGCACATATCACATAAAAGAACAGGCCCGACGGAACCGGTCTGGTTGATCAGGCCATGGCCGGACCAACTTTTTGCCCAACCATCATATCATACACAAAGTATGACAGGCTAGGGTATGGCCGAACCAATCAAAAACTCCTTCCGCCGGTCCCGATGAGAAGGATTACTGAACTGGCCTGGGCAAGCCCATATGCCTCAGAAACATGCAGTAGGCACAACCAGGTAGTAGAGCTTCTACAAGTTTCCACAGTAAAGAGGGCCATCTGGAAAGCCGTGCACATGTACATGGCAAGTAACATGAGTATAGCACACTGCTGTGGACACAACTAACCTGGAAGTTGATGGGAGGTGGAGGCACTTTTGGTTCAATTCTGACAACACTTGATTCCACCTGTGGTGGCGGTTTGAAGTTATTCTTGCCAACCTGGAAGAGAGAGAGAGAGAGAGAGAGAGAGAGAGAGGCAGGGGGGGGGGGGGGATTAGAACACAAGTCGCAACACCACCACCAAGCTACAGTGCTGGTCGACGAAATCTTCCATCACGGGCGCACTTAACACACCTCGAATCAAGCAACCCCTGCCACCCTGTAGCTCTGCAACTCAGCTCATTCTACACATCCACCCTTGCTACTCACAGTGCATTAGCTACACATCCACCCTTGCTACTCACAGTGCATTAGCTACACATCCACCCTTGCTACTCACAGTGCAGTAGCTACACATCCACCCTTGCTACTCACAGTGCAGTAGCTACACATCCACCCTTGCTACTCACAGTGCAGTAGCTACACATCCACCCTTGCTACTCACAGTGCAGTAGCTACGCGAGTGGTTGTATTTCACTGTCCAGCACAATGCGATGACAAATTGACAAGTTGATGTATTGAAGCAGCATTGAAACATGACAACAATTATGTGCAAAGTGACCAGGAATAAAGAAAGGCATAGGGTCTGCATAGCATTCATTGCATCCTAACACACTGTACCTTCATAAGGTGGTCAACGGTAGCTAGTAGTTGTGTATTGACTGAGAGGCGGCAGTAGAGTTTATCACCTGGTTTGGCAACCAGACGCTGTGCAAACTCACGTTGAAACATCAACACAGCACATCTATGCACAAAGCACACACACACACACACACACACACACACACACATGTATGTATCCACACAGGGAGTTACAGTCTTGACAGAATGCTGTGGCACAAGGTAAGGTAGAGCTTGACTAGCGAGTGTTGGACTGCCAGTGACAGAGAGCACAAGACTAGGTAGGCTGCAGTGAGTATGTGGGGCGTAACGCTACACAGAGCCGCGGTTATTAGCAGTATGACAGGTTTAACCACACTTCCCCGGATATAAGTAGCACCTTTTCGCACTTAACTTCAAGGGCAAAGAAGGCAATGCGACTTACAATCGAGTGTGACATCCTACTTATGCGACTGCGGGGGGGGGGGGGGGGGGTACGGTATTAGAGCAGCAAGACACATTCATCCATTTATCAATTCATGGCATATCCTACCTGAAGAATGGTCTGTGAAGAAGCAGCTTGAATACAAATGGTGATGAGATCTGGAGGGAGGGTGGACAAAGAACAACACATTAGGATGTACATATGCACAGTCATGTACAAGGTGAGTACTATAAAGGATGAGCGAGTTCTCACCACCCTGCTAACCACCCTGCTGCTACCTCATCTTACATTGTATGTCTATGGCCTGTTGAATAGGACATGTACTACAGGGTACTCTCATAATCACTATTCTGTTCTCTGGTGATTGCCTAGCGGCATGAAACTCAGAGTTACAACCAACTTGAACGTCCTACGCTGAGTCTGTTATAATTATAATCACTATTCTGTAAATTCTGCAAATTAGCAGTAGCAGTATATTAACCCTTTATTACCGGCCTGCAGACTTTCGATCATATATGATCGAAAGTCTGTAGGCCAGTAATATCTTCGTAACTCCATCATTTCTTGTGCGAATTCAACAATCGAAAGGTCTATTTGATAGCGGAAACTCCAAGCTATCCAATGCAACAATCGCCGAAGAGTTACGATGTCGGACGCCAGAGATATCGCGCGCCGTATTCTCATCTCGGCAAATTCAAATTTTTGATCGATCACTTCGCCATTTTTGGGGAAAATCCCTTTTCGTGTGCTCTTTGAGCGACTAAGTACGTGATAATGACGTAGTCAGCTGAAGTTTGAATCGTCTCAAACAAATTTGAGCGTTCTGCGATGAAGGAGAGTGGAATGGCGTTGATGGGACGAATTTACTTGCATATCAGGCTTGGAGACAACTTTGCTGTGTTACCGCGCCTGATTTGTGGCGACTGGATAATGGAGCTTGGTACCCTGGCGTTGCTCTCGCCAAGAGCTTTCCAACGAGCCCTAGATTGTGAAAATCAAGTGAAGGAGACCAAAGTTATGACCTGGTGAAGTTGGAAATTGTGCTGAAATTCGTAATTCTGGTGCATGCTGTGCAAGTAATCCGGTAATAAAGGGTTAAATGTAAACGTTACAGCGTATAGAGGTTATGCGAAAGGATCACGTGCAGGCGGCGTGCAGGCGGCCAAAGCGGCCGCGCTCCGCAGGGGTGGCAAAAGAGATGAAAAGTTCAAAAGAAGTACATGTGCCTGGAATCATTTCACGAAGGAAATTTCCTGTATCGCTGTTACGTTCCTCTTCTGTTCTTTACAAAGGACTATTGTACGAACGCTGAATCAGTGGCCATGACTTCTCCCAAGTTTTCAAAAGTGTATGACGAGTTAGATGACTCCAGCAAATGCCGGTACAGTGAAAAGCTCGAGCGCGTTGCACCAGACTCGAGTGATCCTTACCTGCCCAGAAGTATTTTTTAGAGGAAGATAAATTTCCACTTGTGGACTATCCCGATATTTACAATTTCTTGGTCAACGCGCCCAGCCCCTACACCAAGGAGCAGCTCAAGGCCTACAAGAGCTTGGAAGGCTACAAATACCTTGTCAGTGGCTGGGTCGGCGATGTTCGTGCGTTTCCAGCGTCCGAATCTGACACATGTGACAGCAAGTTTGTCATCGCCAAAGTCCGCCATTCCCAGTCAGTTTCCGGCACCCATCTGCAACCCTGGATTGCTGCGCAAAACGACGGTAGCGTGATTTGTGCACACTGCACCTGCATGGCTGGTCTTGGTGAGTCTTGTTCTCACGTTGCTGCACTGTTGTTCAGCCTGTATTCTAGAACGCAGCTGATTCAGAACACAGGAAGCACTTCATTGCCGTGCCAATGGTCAACTCCTTCAATGAAGGAGGTGGAGTATGCCAGGATTCGTGACATAAACTTCACTGCACCCGACACTAAACAGCATGGGAGCAAGCGCCGTAGGTCGGAGGAGAAGGTCCCTGCTGATATTAAGCAACCCTCCAGTGCTGAGCTGGGTGAACTATATGGAAATTTATGTCAAGCCGGTAAACCGTCATTACTCTCCCTTGTTCCCGGGTTCTGCGATAGGTACGTACCTTCCAAGCCCGAGGGATATCCACCCATTTTGGATTTATTGTACGAACCAGACATGCTGGATGCTAGTTTTGGGGACCTGCTCGTTCGTTGCGAGGCAGTATTTCCAGCGGTCTGTGTTTCAGAGGAGGAAGCACGCGCTGTGGAACAGGCTACGCGGAACTAGGCAGATTCCAAGGCCTGGTTTGAATTTCGCGCCGGCCGGATCACAGCTTCAAAGTTGAAGTCTGCTGTTCGCACGGATATTAGCCAGCCCTCTGCGTCCTTAGTCCGCTCTGTGTGTTACCCTGAGGCACACAAGTTTCGTAGCAAAGCCACACAATGGGGATGTGATCACGAGCAGAAGGCAATTGACAACTATAGTGAACATGCCAGTGCAACACATCAGAAGGTTGAAGTACTGCCCAGTGGCTTTGTAATTCATCCGGACTATCCATATCTTGGCGCTACTCCCGACTCCCTTGTGCAGTGCTCCTGCTGTGGCAACGGCGTGGTGGAAGTGAAGTGCCCGTACGGGTGCCGAGACAGTAGCCTGCATGATGCTGCCGATTCAGGGAAGTTCTGTCTAGTAAAGTCCGGCGGAGCACTCCACCTTAAGCAAGACCACATGTACTACTACCAAGTACAGCTACAGATGCTGGTGTGTAAGGTGCAGTACTGTGACTTTGTTGTGTGGAATGAAGGTCAGCTGTTTGTGGAGCGTATCTGTGCAGACGCAGATTTCATCCGTGAAGCGGTAGCAGGTGCCAAGAAATTCTTCCAGTGTGCTGCTCTCCCAGAGCTTGTTGGGAAATGGTTCACTAAGACGTTCTCCACTCTTCCTGCCGATGCGTCTTCAGTGGCTACATCAGCCTCGGAACCACTTGGTGCTGCCAGTACAACATCTACTGCGGATCAAGAACGCCCTCCGGAGTTTTGCTACTGCAAGTCTGTGAAGGCTGGCGAGGTACTGCGATGTTCCAACAACGATTGCAGTATTCGTTTGTTCCACATGGCTTGTTTGCAGCTGAAGAGTAAGCCAAAGCGCAAGAACTGGACCTGCCCGGAGTGTCGCAAGATTAAATCTGCCACTAAATAATGATATGCATGTACAATTACAGTGGTAGCGACTTCGGCGACAAGTTTATAGGAATGTTGGTCGCTAAGCACAACGTTCGTCAGCCTACTCAAGCTCAACTGCATGAGGGGTGAATTCCCCGAAACACTGTGTATTGAGCAGGGAGTGGTGCTTTCTTGCAGGTTTGCCGGAAGGAGGGCTCGAGGGACTTCTTCTCTGCTCTAGATGGCAGTTGTGAGTCAGTCAAGTGTCTGGATGGAAGTCGTGAGTTTGTCAAGTTTCTGAATGGCAGTCGTGAGTCAGTCAAATGTCCAGTCAAGGCGGCAGAAAAGCTCGACCTCTAGTATGGGGTGCAACCAACTTTCCATGTACATAGTCATTTTTGTCGTAGCATTTGTAAATCCAAGTCTCAAGCATTTGAGAAGTGATTATATTCATGGAGCCTGCTATTCTGGTATTTCTAGAGTTGCATTTTCAACTTGTTCTGCTGTGCCTTCCACGGTACTTGCTGTTGCACTTGCCACGTGTGTGCATACAATCGGTGGCTGGGCTTTCACAACGATTTCCGTTACCTTTCTTGTATTTCTTTGCTTGCATGTATCTCTGAAGGACCATAATGCTGATTCGTATTTGTGGGTCCCAGGACATGCGTGAAGACCACTCACTGCTTATGCATGTGAGCAGAGGAACTCCATCATTACACATCAAACACTTCGCTCTTTACGTCTCTTCCGGGTGATGTTGGCATAAGTTGAGTTGTTCTTTGGTGCTGGGCATACTACATCTGATGGTACATCGCGCACTACCCAGCACCCTAAGTTGGGTTTCAGGGCTATTCATAATTATTATATTGTGTTGTCCCTATTTGGACCACGAGTCATTATATTGATGCAACAAGAAACGGAGGCATGTCGTGAGTGATGATAGAAGCCATTATTATTACTATTATTATAAGTCTGTTGGCGTTGCCATGACCAAGCAAGCTTGGCTAGCCAGACAAAAGAAACTAGAAACAAGCGAGGTCAATGAGGTGAACACATGCGCATGCAACTGCAGAATAGGTAAAACAGAAATATAATTGCCGGTATATCCAGACAGTCCAAAAAGCACAAGGGGTTAATAATAAATTTGAACAATAATATAATAATTCAAACAGTATTTTGGAGGCGGTGGGAAAAACAGTTTCGTAATACGTATTCGCATGCAACGACGCAAATCCACACAATTCAGTAGACACTTTTTCTATCAAACGTTTTCTAAGCGAAATCTAGGAAACAATGAACAATGAGTTCGAGACGCAACGAGAGAGAGAGAACGATTAAACGAAGACTGGAACAAACAAAGCCAATGGAAAAATATTATGGAGATGCGATTCCGTTAGAAAATGTGCATCGACATACCAAGCCACGGCGGCTCAGTACGAAAGTGTGCCTCCACGATAAATAATTCAAACAGTATTTTGGAGGCGGTGGGAAAAAGTTTCGTAATACGTATTCGCATGCAACGACGCAAATCCACACAATTCAGTAGACACTTTTTCTATCAAACGTTTTCTAAGCGAAATCTAGGAAACAATGAACAATGAGTTCGAGACGCAACGAGAGAGAGAGAACGAATAAACGAAGACTGGAACGAACAAAGCCAATGGAAAAATATTATGGAGATGCGATTCCGTTAGAAAATGTGCATCGACATACCAAGCCACGGCGGCTCAGTACGAAAGTGTGCCTCCACGATAAATAATTCAAACAGTATTTTGGAGGCGGTGGGAAAAACAGTTTCGAAAATAATATAATAATAATAATATAGCAATCATTACAGCTGACAAAGCGGCATGATGTAATTTACTCGAAAGGTACGACGGACTCACAACAGTTGCACAGAGCACAGCAGACGGTGACAACCTTGTCAATGAATGCACATGATGTAGCTTTATCGTCATGCATGAGGAAAGCAATGGGCAAAGTGCCAGAGAGGATCGTGTATTTCTGGCAAAGCATTCCAATCACTCGCTCCACATGGATACGGACGCGTGACACTTGTCGAGCACTGTCCAATTTCAGCCTGGAGAGTTGCTTCTTCCCCTTCGTAAATGGGGGCATCACCAACTCTGCGCAGAACATGCCAACGCTGTCTTCAACAGTGAAACCACGGTCAGCCATCACCTGGTCACCCGGATTTAGGTGACTAAGCAGACCGCAGTGCTCTGTGATGAACTTGTCTGAGGCTCTCCCGCCCCATGCATGCGAAATAAATGTAATGACACCTTGTGGCGCTACGCCAATCAAAAACTTTGCAGTGTTATGGCTTTTATAGTGAGAGTACGTTTGAGCTCTTGCCATCAGATCAGAAGGTCGTTCACAAAAAACTTCAAAGCAGTCAATAATGACAGCACAGCCCGGGAAATGCTTACGAAATTCAAGCGGCAGAGTTTTGCGTAGTTCGTCCCTTTCCGGCCATTTGACAAGTGGTCTCAGCATCACATGCATCACCCGGATCCAGCGCTGGAAAATCCGGCACACGGTCGACTGGTGAATGCCGAATCTGTACGCCAAGTCTTGGTCCCGACAATTCAGCCGAAGCTTCATGAGAACAATCAAGAACTGCTGGAAGAGAGAGAGCGTGTGGCGGTGGTGCTGTGGAACTCTCTTCCTCACGTGTTCAAATATGCCCATCATGGTCCCAAAAGACTGCAAACCAGTGTAGAAGAGCACCTTCGCGTTGTCTTTCTCAAACGACTCGATTGACAAGGTGTCACCTTGTCCTGGAGCGTGTGGCATCCCTTTGCTTTCCAGGACCAAACGGTTGTTTGTCTCCTCCAGCCGCGTCAAGTGCTCCATATCCATGTCAGTCTGCGATGAGACACTGGAGACTGCTACAGGATCAGACTCTACCTCTGCACCATAGGCACCAGGCAAATCTGCCATTGCCTCTGTGAAGTCATTCCCGGAGGCGTCCACTTTCACTGGTGTCTGCGTCTTGCTCTCCTCGAACGTCAGCTTCCGCTTCGCTCGGCGTTCATATGCCACCAAATCCCTCTCCGCTTTACGCTTTACAGGAGTCCTGACATGTTCAAAAAGTTTCGGAACGTAAGCGGGAGATAGTGGATCGTTGCTCTTCTCTGCGCCTACGAAATGGTCTGAACAGATCCTGCTACTGTCAGTTGGCTTCCAATTCTCTCGTCTCATAGCCGCAACCCATAGTTTGCGCCGCTCGTCCGCTACAGGAAACTTGTAAAACTTCACAGCCGTTCCAGGATCGGCACGATTGCTACATCCGACGGCTGCACAACTCTTCGGCATGTTGAAGGCTAAAAACTTCAGCAAGCGAGACACCAGCGGAAATCAAAATAAAAGTGAGGAACGATATGTCGACAACCAAGAACAAATTTTACTTTTCCTCTCAAAGACTAGTAAAAAATAGTTCAAGCAGAAACGACTTCATTTTGCCACCCCTGCCACTCGCAGCCGCCTTGGCGCTCCTCGTGACGTCATTCGCATAACCTCTATACCGACGGCACACTATGAGCCACTTGTGCAATCATTTATCACCCAGCCTAGGTAGGGGTGAGGTAGCATTCCCTGCACAATACGCTGGTTGCTAGAGAGGTGACCAGAGCATGTACAGTGAACAGTGTACACTGTACAGTTCTATGCAGTGAAAGAGACTAGGAGCGCTAGCAACGCCACAACCACTGACCTGATAGGGCATGTTGGCCACACAGATGTCAAAGAATGGTAGGTCAGTTTTCAGGACATCGCCAACAATAAATTGAACTTTGCTTGCAGCAGGCCTACAAAACAGCAGAATGAATGTAATGTCATATCCAGGCACAATATCCAGTCACATCGGCATGGCAATGTACATGGAAATAGCAGAGAACAAGGTACATGTGCACAGTGATACTGATAGTGAGAAAGTATAGCTCTGACAACAAAGTATTACCAGCACTGCACTGGGAGCTGCAGGGAAAGGCGAAACCAAGAATAGTTCCATCCCCACCACACACACACACACACACACACACACACACACACACACACACACACACACACACACACACACACACACACACACACACACACTTGTACTTGTTGCTCACTGCCAAAACTGGTCACGCGGGTCTCCCCGGGAGAGGGGAGAGAGACTCAAAAGGAATCTTGGAAAGATGACTCAATTGGCTATTGAACCGCCCAACGGCCGACACCCCCTGAAATCCCCAAAACTCTGGGTGGACTTGAAAATGATCCCACTTATGGGCTCACCACACCTCAGTAAGTGGGTGAGGACAAGGTGCAGAAAAAGGATTGACGGCATCAGGGTATCCGTCCAGGGATCCAACTGCAGTTACCCCTGCCCCCAGTGAAGGTAATACTTGCTACTAGTGTGGGTGGCTAAATCAGAGTGGATCTGATATAAGCTTCACTAGCACCATTGATTACACAAGAGTTAATCTAGCCAGAAGCAGTCCATGGTTAACAGGTATGTATACTTCAAATAGAAAGTAATATTATGAACCCTGCAACCAACAAAGGTGGCAACACACACACACACACACACACACACACACACACACACACACACACACACACACACACACACACACACACACACACACACACACACCATTGGACGTCCATCGCCGGAGGCGATGATAGCAATGCTACAGCTTAAGCCATAGCCACTTGTACTGGGATTGCACCATTCAACACACACACACACACACACACACACACACACACACACACACACACACACACACACACACACACACACACGCACCCACGCACGCACCCCCCCCCCCCCACACACACACACACCTTGAAACTGCCACCTAAAGGTGATGCAGTGCCTCAAAGAGGCAAGGAGGGCAGAGTTACTTCTTGCATTTGTGTTGAGCCAGGTACTGGGGATGTGTGAACTTCCGAGAGCAGGTCGGGCATGGGATGGTGCGGCACTCGGAGCCAGAGCTGCATGTTCTGTGGTTGCAGTTGTGCCGGCGGTGCCCAGCTTTGCTCCGGAAACAGCGGTCACAGGTGTGGCAGTGGTAATGACATTGGCTGCAATCAGGTGGGCGAGGTGCAACAATCTCTGGAACTGGAGCGTCTCCTCCCAGTTCACGGCTGTTCAAGCTAGCTCCGTTCCTCGACGAGAATGGCTTGTTGCGAGTTGGTGGTAGGCTGCAGGAAAGTCAGCTTGGGTATGAAAAACACCCAATCATCCTAGCCAAGCACCATCTGACGGAGTTGCTACTGAAGATGATCCACAATCAGCGTCTTCACCAGGGAGTTGAGAGTGTCCTTGCTTTCATACAACAGCGATTCTGGATCTTGGCAGGAAGGCGCATGCTCAGGAGCGTTGCAGAGCAATGTCTAGTCTGTCGTTGGTTCAAGGCTAAGGCAGCAGCTGAGATAGTGGCACCATTACCATCAGATCGAGTAGAGCACCAGCAAGCCTTTGGTTTAACAGGCATCGATTATGCAGGTCCGCTCTATGTACGAAATGGTGACAAGATGGAGAAGCCATGGATTGTGCTCTTCGTGTGTGGAACGACGAGTGCAGTGCATCTTGATTTGGTCGATAGTTCGTCCACAGAAGCGTTTCTGCTGGTCTATCGAAGGTTCGTTGCGAGACATGGTACGCCCAGCAAGATCAGGTCAGATAACGCTACAACTTTCAAGGCGGCCGCAGACAAGGTGTTGGTCATGTGGGTCTTCACTCCACCCGCAGCGCCTTGGTTTGGAGGGTTCTATGAGAGACTCGTAGGATGCGTGAAGTCACCTTTAACCCTTTGGAGTCCGTAACTTTTTTGCTTCCGCAGAATTTGTGGCAGTCACGAAAATGCGCACTCAATTTCCAACATAACTTTGGTTCTACTTCACCGATTTTGAAGATCTTAGGCTCGTTGGAAAGCTCTTGATGAGAGAAATACAGTCAGTATCGCCTATAAGGTTGGCGGCTATAGTGATATACCGGATATAGTGATCAATTTCTCAAATTCATTTTCATTTGCCATAACTAAGTATGCACAGTTACCGCGTATAGTAATAATCGTCTATAGTAATATATCGCCTATAGTGATCAAATTCTTATTTCAAAAGACCTTTGTTACATTATTTTTGCTTCGGTTATAGTGATTGATGTAAAATCAAGCGATGTTAGAGGAGAACAGGGTGTTGCTTCTTCGTGAAGAACTTGTCCAGTGAGTGTTGTTTGGTGAGTTTTGCTCGTACAAGTTGCCAAAATATGCCTCCATCGTGAGGAAATGCTGATTTTGTGTGTCAGGAGCTACAGCCAGCTACATGACATTGTACATGTATGTAGTGCGTATGTGCACGGCGCGCTGAGTCGTTTGACACCCCACTCGCATACATTGCATGCAGTATCGGTCATAGTAATATATCGCTTATACTAAGTTATAGTGATAAAATGCTCAAAATCAAACACCAACGCTATAGGCGATACTGACTGTACAATGAGCCCAAACTCGCCAAGAGCACTATTCATTGTCCGCCACAACGCGCCCCAAACGCGAGTCCAGCTCCATATCTGAGACGAAATCGGTCTCCTGTAGCCATTTCACTGAATCTAGCTCCGAACTGGTCAAATTTTTTCGAGTAGAAGCTTACCTTGCCGTGACTTCGCGCCGCGCCGGTCCTGGCACGTGCCGCCTGTCATGAACCTGGGAAAATCCCTTTTTTTCACGCACTGCTGACTCGCAGCACGCAGCGCAGAAAATTCGAAATGTTTGATCGCTCGCCGCTCACTCAACCTGCATCGGAGAGACTTCGGACCTGTTCGAGGTGATAGCTGAGAGTTTGCTCTACCATGTAGACCCTTCGATTGTTGAATTTGGTCAAGATTTGGCCGAGAACCGAAAGTTTGACTGCGCCCACATGCATAAAAAATGCCCATGGTTCGAAATCGAACCATGGACTCCAAAGGGTTAAAGAAGAGGCTAGGAAAAGCGATGCTGAAGCCTGATGAGCTACGTACCGTTCTGGCTGAGATTGAAGCTGTGGTGAATGCGCGCCCGCTTACCAAGGTATCAACAGATGTTAGCGATGAGAGTGCCTGACGCCGGCAATGATGTTGGATAACATCTTTGCGCCCAGTGGTCCTGAGCCAGAGAAAGACATGACCGCTGCTCAGCTCTCGGCTCGTCATCGTTACATTATGACAGTGAAGGAGCACTTGGCCAAGAGGTGGCGTGAGGAGTACGTTGTCGGTCTCAGCAGCTACCAATCGGAACAGGCAAGGGAAGTCAAGCCAGGTGATGTTGTGCTTGTTATTGACGACCAGAAGAAGAGACATCTCTGGAAGCTAGGCCGTGTGATCGAGATGTTCCGAGGTCGTGACGGGAAGCGTAGAGTTGCGCGAGTGAAGATCGGTCAGAGTACTCTGTTGCGCGCAATTCAGCGGTTGATCCCGCTTGAAGTCTCCAGTGAGGCAGACGTTGATGTTTGTTGTCCTGCAAATGGGTCAGCTAAGGAAGTCGCTACTCCTGAAGCCGCAGCAGCAGACGCTGAACCTTATCGCAGATCGCGTCGCCCCATCAGGAGACCCGTTCGTCTTGATTTGTAACGTGCAGAGTCCTTTGGTGGGGAGAATGTTGTGAATCTGGTGTTGGAAAGGTCTCTGAGCAGTTGTTAGAGGGGTGTGAACTTGCCAAATGCGTAAAACCATGCCTGTCCCTTCGTAATGCTGCACAAGTTTTTGTTGTATAATTGTGCATGAAAATAGCTCTATGTGCTGGCTGTTACAGTGTCTAATCATGACAATGGCAACTTTTACGAATAATCAAGTAGCTGATTATGTGCATGTTTGAAAACGAATGCCATTATTGGAATTAAACAATCGACGAGGAGACAATAGTCGTAAAATGGCAATAAATAAGATAAATTGTGCACTCATAACAACAGCAAAAATGAAGAAAGTCAAGTTCCATAACGTTTTCTTGTGACTGTCATCAGTGGAACGCCGTCACATAAAAATGTAATAACTAAAACACACACTTATATACATGTAGCTAATATGGTTTCAGGTAGAAATACAGCAGCTAACAAGTACAAAAGCGAAGTTTGCACCTTTGCAATGTGTGAATATAGTGTATGTGAGAAAGGTAGTGGCAGATGAATGTGATACTGTGTTTCTTCAAGCAATTGCAGGTGTTGGAGGCTGTGTATATTCGTACTCGTGACCCTGTGCTATGTAAACAGAAAGAAAACGTTGTATCACTCACACTCTTCAAGTAATACACACGCACCATTACATTCATTCACACAGTATCACATTCACCTGCCACTACCTTTCTCACATACACTATATTCACACATTGCAAAGGTGCAAACTTCGCTTTTTGTACTTGTTAGCTGCTGTATTTCTACCTGAAACCATATTAGCTACATGTATATAAGTGTGTGTTTTAGTTATTACATTTTTATGTGACGGCGTTCCACTGATGACAGTCACAAGAAAACGTTATGGAACTTGACTTTCTTCATTTTTGCTGTTGTTATGAGTGCACAATTAATTTTATCTTATTTATTGCCATTTTATGTATATAAGTGTGTGTTTTAGTTATTACATTTTTATGTGACGGCGTTCCACTGATGACAGTCACAAGAAAACGTTATCGAACTTGACTTTCTGACTTTCTTCATTTTTGCTGTTGTTATGAGTGCACAATTTATCTTATTTATTGCCATTTTACGATTATTGGAATTCCACAATGTATTTTCTGTACTTACATTTTGCTGTCTCTAGCTGTTCCTCCGTTCAGGAAGCTGTTGCTTGTTCAGCGGAATTTAATTGAGAGCTGTCAGCCACTGCTGACAGAATAGGTAGGACTGTCAACCATTGCTGACAGATGGAACTCTAAGAAGCTAACTAAATTATTTGATTCGAAGTGCATTTTGATTTGTTTGTTGCACGCGTGCTGAAAAGTAAGTGAAGTTCTGTTGTTGCTTGCGCAATTTTGCGGAAGTTGAATCCATGTTTAACGCAGCCCGCCTGAGCAGGCGCACATGACATGCTGCATGCGCTGTTTTGCGTGCATTTTCGGCATTGACTGGCTCTGGTGTTTTGGTACGCTACTTCCATCCGTGTACTACTCCGGTCTTCATTTTTCCAATCGTTTTTGCTTTTTTTCCTGTGTGTTCTTTTTTTGCTGTTGGAGAGAACTGTTAGATCGTCTCTCTGTGCTTCCTTTATTCAATTTCTTAGTTAGTTTTCAATTCTCTTTAATATCATAATATCGTCTATGCAAGTTGTAAAACTCAACGGATCTTGTGAGTTGTGATGGTAGTCCCCTCGCCTGGGAGATTCTAAGTTACCAGTGTGTAACATTTTTTGGCACACACACACACACACACACACACACACACACACACACACACACACACACACACACACACACTTACTTACTTACTTACTTACTTACTTACTTACTTACTTACTGTACTTGTTGCTCACTGCCAAAACTGGTCACGTGAGTCCCCCCGGGAGAGGGGAACACCTCAGACCTCAGACATGCCCATCGCGGAAGCGATGATAGCGAACAGCTATGTTAGACATAGCAACTTGTGCTGGGATTACACCATTCAACAGCTTGCAAGGCTGATGAATTGACCGCCACTATTTTTAGCCTGGTATCCACCACACAGCTATTTGAAGTGACTTTTTCTGGCCAGTGAATCCCTATTTTTCATTTTTCCATTTTTTTTCTACACACACACCACACCACATACTCCGGCATGCACTGGCTGTTGGTAACCACCCAGGAGAATGAAAGAAAAGTCAGGAAGAGTCCGAGAAAGAGAAGAAAGACATGTGCGACCATAATCGTCGGGAATTGAACCCGCAACCTCTCGATTGGAAATCGACTGCACATACCACTGCACCATATGGGACACACACACACACACACACACACACACACACACACACACACACACACACACACACACACACACACACACACACATGTACGCAAGTGAACATAAACACTATAAAACACATGCACACACTCCTATGCTGTTGAACGTCCAGCTAGCCCGGCCCTGAATCAAAGGCAAACCAAAAGAGAAAACTTACGTTCCCTGGATTCGTTTCTGGAGTTCTGCCACCATTCTTACGTCCACTTCACACGCCACAATCTAATGGCCAGAATGTAGATATAAGCAGTACACACAAAAAGATAGATAGGTAGATAGATAGAAAGAGAGAGAGAGAGAGAGAGAGAGAGAGAGAGAGAGAGAGAGAGAGAGAGAGAGAGAGAAGAGAGAGAACCTGTTCTCTTTTGTGCAATGACATGAAAGTGAGTCCAGGGCTCCAGCAAGGGTTGTCTTCCAACCACTCACAAAAATTCGATGGGACTAAATGGCAAATGCCAACAGCTGCATTGTACCAGAATAAAACATACGCAGGCGAGAAAAATATGTCAAGCATGAGGATGCATGATGTTCTCACATATTTCTTGAAGGTGTTGGGAACATGTTCAAAGCCAGCAATACAAAAAAGAAAGAAAAGTTAGAACGGAAACGAATCCACTGCAAACATGTTTCCGCTTACTACATACAGTGCTGTAACAACGACAGTGACGACTAGTTCACGGTAGAAATGGGAAATGGGTTGATAAGTCACCTCCTGTGCTACTACATGTAGTGTGATGTGTTCTAATTACCAAGACGTACCTTCTTGCACTTGTCCACCATTTTCATTGTCATGTTACCCGTGCCAGGGCCAATTTCCAGAACGGTATCCGTTGGTCGGATTGCAGCCTGGCCAGGAATACAACAGAAACACAACACAACAGAGCAGAGCATGTATCGTACTGACAAGTCACCACCCTACTACTTGACACAATATCACAATTCACTACTACTACTTGCACTATTACTCCAGTCTACTGTCTACATTGGTGGCAACTTGCAAGTGTAATCTGACGAGTTATTATCGAGGGCGGATTACAACCATAACGAGTGAGTGGTGAGTAGTCGGTATGATTATTTCAGTCATAGAGTGTAGTACCTGAAGTGTACCCAAGCAACAGACCAACTGTGGCGCCACTGGACAATCCCCAACATAGCATGCATGAATACTGTGGTATGTTGCCTGGTGTCCAGTTCCACCTCTGCTATGCGTCCAACAGCTTTCTCCCAAGTCTCCTCAAGACCATGCTCTCATGTGACTTCAGTAGATCCACACAGAGATGGCATACGCATTGGATTCCATGTAAAGCCTCAAGCACCCGCATCACTGCGTGTCTGTCGGCTGAGGGAGGGAGGGGGAGAGAGTCTCTCCTGCAAGCGTACTTGGAGTAAGCTTTGATCCTTGTCTTCACATGCCTGAATTATCAGGTCAGCTGTTTGTTGTGCAACTCCGTTGCCGTCATTGCCAATACTGATGAGCAACCCGCTGCCGAGGTCACATTACATGACTGCTGCAGGTCCCCCTCTGCCCACATTGTAGGCAATAAGGTAACGCCACTTTGTATTTCGCTGCTGCTGCTGCCTTATGGAACAAGCTGCCACCAGGAATTCGATCTGTTTGTGAACTCCCTGCATTCAAGCATTCTCTCTCTTCCACTGATGTCATAAATCTCCATGAATGACTGCTGGCAACCTATCGTGCAGCACTCTAGTGTCTCTTTTGCTCATCACGTGTTGTATTCGAAAGAAATGATATGCTCATAATGGTCTACATTCATACGGAGACTTTTACTGCTTTCAACTCCCTCAAACTTAGGAATATATTGACGTAGTCAAGTGGTGTGCTTCACTTTGAATATCATATTGATCTATTGAGCTTTATTTCCTCCTCTGCTTTGAACCCCTGTTTTCTTCTTCTTCAAATTCCTCATGCATTGTACTTACATGACATCAAGCCACAATGTGACAAGACTCATACTAATTACACAATACCCCCCCCCCCCCCCACACACACACACCTCCTTCTCCCTCTCTTATTCTTAGATAACATAAAATTAACATGCTCCTAATCGAATGTTCAAGATTTCATATACTCATTTATTTGTTCATCTCCTCTGTTTCTTAATAACTTATATCTATAAAATATCTCCATCATTAACTCTTGTCGGGGCCAAGGCAGTGGTCTGGTGAGAACTTATCAGTGCATGTTCATTTCATGAACAAATTGATGTTCACTGGATGAATAATGGTTTGAACACTCCACATGTAGCTCACTATATGGCCATTTGACAGATTTCATATTTATTATGATGAAGCAGTAAACTAAAATAATGAATGCTAGATTTTATACACTCATGCCAAGGCACAAGAAACCTCCAGTCAGTCGAAGCAAGACTAAGGAGCGACAACCCAATACAAATTCATGGAATGTTCACATCATAATGCTTACCTTGTCCACAATTCCTTGAATTACCAGCGGATTTTTCAGGATATGCTGTCCAAACTCTTTTTTGAAATGGATACCTTGCTGGATTTGGCCGTGCACCCGGCTCTTCTTCTCAGCTCTGATTTTAGGCATCTTTACAGGACAAGCAGGCTCACTCAAGAACTACGATCAAATCTTGCAATCAAGAACCGCTCCAATGGCGATACAGTAATCTCACGACCAAAATTATTGTGCTGCTTCTAGAGCTTCTCACAATATTTTTTTGTATCTGTGTGCATGTGTGTGATTCATTCCCATGCCATGCCGCGAGCTAGATGTGACATCATTACCACATTACAGTAGACATTACAATCGAAAAAAGGAGAAAAAGAAGGATGATTTTTTTGGAAAGAGAATAATAATGCATGCACGGCATCGACATGCGCATATGCATGATGCGTCAGATTTTGAAAAGATTCTGTTTTGCCACATTTTGATTTCTGGTTTGCACAACAAAGGCAGAGAAAGAGAGAGAGAGAAACGAAGTCAAAGCAATTCGTATCGTGGAAGATCTTTAAAATTCATTCATCGCATGATCGCAGTAATACTAATAGCGGTTCTGGCACGGATCTGCCTTCCACACTGCCAGTACTGCAGTAGTCTTGGACGTGGTGCTAGTTATGAATTGAAAATCCTCGATTTCTGATTGCAAGCGAAAAATGGACCGTAGCCGCAGTCCGCATCGGGAAAGGGACTACGGTCGTCGAGACAGGGATGGATCAAGAGACGACAGGGATAGAAAGCGTAGATATCGTGACAGTAGAAGCCGGAGTCGGAGCCGCAGTCCGCGTCGCAGAAGGTACCGCAGTAGAAGCAGAAGTAATGAGCGTGACAGTAGAAGCCCTTTCAGGCGACATCGATCCAGTCCTTCTAGATCAGCGGATAGACATAGATCAGACAGATCCCGCAGATCACCTAGTCCTGGCCAAAGAAGTGCTAGTTACGGCAAATCACACGGTGAGAATTATCTGTGTGTGCATGCGCGTGCTTGTGTGTCTGTGTGTGTGTGTGTGTGTGTGTGTCTGTGTGTGTGTGCGTACGCGCCTGTGTGGGTGTGTACGTGCGCGTATGTGTGTGTGTGTGTGTGCACACATGTCCTATTTGCTTTGTACGTGCAAGGGTATTGTCACTTTTGACACAAATACACACACACACAAACACACGCACAAAGACACCCACACACACATACCGTAAAGTCATGTATAAAAGCCGCACTTGAATAGAAGCCGCATTTTTGGGCCCATCAAATCACACATAAGCCAGGTTTTAGTGTTGACATACATAGAAATTAGGGGTGAAACGGTTCGGGTAAGGAACCGGTTTTGGAACCGCCAGCTGAAAAGAATCGGGTACCCGTTCCGTCAAATTGCGAACCGAAACTCGAAAAATCTCGTTCTCTTACAAATGCATGTATACGTCAAGTCTACTCAATATTTTACCTTACGATCACCGCTCTTCCAAGGACCAAAGGGTCATTATCTTCTTCGCACATGGACTCTTCGATGCCTCGTTCTTGTTCGTAAACATGTTTTCAAAAAAATTATTGTCACGAACGCATTTTGTCGGTCTGGAGAAAAGAGTACATGGAACCGATACCCGAACCGTGAAAAACTATGCTGGCGTTAGGATACCCGAACATGAAAAACATGGAACCGTTTCACCCCTAATAGAAATACCTGTCTTGTATAGAAGCCTGCAAAATTTCACCAAGAAAGTCATAGAAGCCGCGGCTTTTATACAAGACTTTACGGTACACACACATACACATACACACACACACACGTGCATACATACATACACACACACACACACACACACACACAAGCACTACTACTACTGTAGCTTGGTTGCCACAAGGGCCACACCACTCCGAAAGGAGCCAGAGTCATTGTCAGGAGCAGAAACGGAGATGACGACTCAGGTCACTCTGTCGACGGAACTGACGGTTGCAGCGAGAACAGCGAACACCATACGACGCTCTATCAGACTTGGTTGCTCGATGGCCCCGGTCGCACTTGTGACATCTGAAACCAGGCACTGACTTGAATTGCCGATTGCATGTCACACACAAGAGAGAAGCTGGGACGTTGAGCGGAATAGGTGATGCCGGCGCGGACGCTTCCGATGGTTTCAGGGGCAAACAATGATGTACACGCAAGCCACCACGAGAGTGAAACCACCTCCTGCATGTACACACAAGCACACATACACACACACACATGTACCTCGCCACATGAACCCTGGCATGTTTTACTTGTTTACCCATTAGATATATCACACTAGGTGCATGGCTGTTAGATATATCACACTAGGTGCATGGCTGTTAGATATATCACACTAGGTGCATGGCTGTACTCTGTGTGACATGCAGGGCCAACAGTACTCCTATAAACAATGGTGCTTTGTCTAATGCCCCCCCCCGCACACACACACACACAGACAGACAGACAGACATAATTATATGCAGAGATACATACTCACCAGTAGAACAGGATTGTGGCCATGTACTAGCTACAAGTGCATGACATTTTGTATAACAATACATGCACTTGTGCTAAGCAGCAGTGTGTGTACAGTACTATGGCCGCTTTTTTGATTGCTGATTTGTGATTGTATTTGTACATGTGTGTGTGTGTGTGTGCGTGTGCGTGTGTGTGTGTGTGTGTGTGTGTGTGTGTGTGCGTGCGTGCGTGTGTGTGTGTGCATGTGTGTGCACGTGTGTGTGTGTGTACGTATGTGTGTACATGTGTGTGTGTATATGGTATGTGTGTGTGTGTGGTATATGGTATGTGTGTGTGTGTGGTATATGGTATGTGTGTGTGTGTGGTATATGGTATGCGTGTGTGTGGTATGTGTGTATAATTATGGTATGTGTGTATACCAGTGTGAGGTGTGGCGGTGTCTGGCGTGTACTGTCTGTACTCGCTGTCTACGCTGGTACCCCCGTTCTTGCTTGTTTACTCATATGTAGGTGGGGCGGCGAGTAGTTCACGTTCTGCAAGGTATCGATCCTCGTCTGAAGACTCACCATCATCTTCTGATTACTCGAGTGAAGAATCAAGCAGCCAGTCATCATCATCTTCATCTGGTTAGTTGTTCAACCTGCCACAGTACTCAGTGCCGGTGATGGCCAGAACCACGCACTACACGCACTACTTAATAGCTATACACCATAGCTGTACACAAAGGAAACGAAAGGCTTGTTTGTTGTAACTCAGAGTTTCATGGTTTCACAAACAACTATTGGGCACTCATGGGGTTAGTTGTTGCTATTGTAATTCGCTTACCGGTACGTATGGGTAGAGTTGTGGCTATGTCACAACCTGTGAATCTTGCAAGTGTATGGGACCTGCACATGGCAATAAGAAATTGATCCAAGAATCTGTCCTTTATGTGTGGAGGTGCGTGGTAGTGTGGTAGAGTTCCCTCGTTGATACTGACATTCGGGGTTTCTACCTACGTTACAGGCTCCATCCTACACTATCACATACTGTACTAGTACCGTATTTTCCCGAATATAAGTCGACTTTGAATATAAGTCGACCACCCCAAATCCAGGAGTCAATTTCATGAAAAAAAGTTTTATAGCTCCATGACACCCACACATACAAAATGATGAATTCTCTGCGAGGAGAGATCATATCATGCCAGTAAGACAAAATCTGAACATAACCGGTGCCATCCAATGTTCATTCAATGTTAAGTTAATGGTTCGTACGGCAGTGCATTTTTGTACGGACACTCCAGTCACTTCATTTGTTGTGCCAGATTCCCGTATGTAAGTCGAGTTCCGTTTGTAAGTCGACCCCCAGCTTTTGGCGAAATTTCTGGCGCACAAAAGGTCGACTTTTATTCGGGAAAATACGGTAACTGACTCCATCAGGATATGGCAAGTAGCACATACAGGCCATTTACCGGTATTTCCTCTTTTGACATTGGTACTGCAGTACAGTCATGCTGGTACATGTGCACGTACATGTATTTTGCTTTCTCTGATCATGGAATCCTTTCCCTTTTCTTATTGTGCTACTTCAGAGGAAGAGGACAAGCGAAAGAAGCACAAGTCCAAGGTTAGTTGTTGTTGCTGTGCCATGGCTCGCTGCCTATCGCTTGCACTGGATCAGAATTGCTTGCCAGACAGGGTAGATTCCTTATTGATATGATCTGGTGTTCCGGTGTTGCTGCACATGAAATCGTTTCTTTCACTGCTGAATGCGTGGACTGTTTGATATGCTCGGACCAGTATTCCAGTATTGTGGTGTTCACATGATATTGTAAATGCTTGCTTGTTCCAGTAGTTGCTTTGTCTGGTAGGTGTGGTTGTTTGTGCCTGTGTGTGTGGTGTGTGTGTGGGGGGGGGGGGATGTATGTGCGTGTGTGTGTGATGTGTGTGTGTGTGTGTGTGTGTGTGTGTGTGTGTGTGTGTGTGTGTGAAGTCTTGATCTGTCTCCTTCAGATCTTGTTCGCTATCGTTGCTATAAGAGAAAATCTGTGGGTGCACATCCAGTGCATTTGCAGATTTGCGTGCTTCTCTTGCGACGGGCGTATACATGGTACATGGTGTGTGTGTGTGTGTGTGTGTGTGTGTGTGTGTGTGTGTGTGTGTGTGTGTGTGTAGGTGCGTGTGTAGGTGCGTGCGGCTGTGTACGTACGTGCGTGTACAATGCATACACATTATATATGTGTCTGTCTGTTTCTGTGTCTGTGTGGTTTTCAGAAAGACAAGAAAAAGAAGAAAAAGAAAGGCAAATCTAAAGATGACGATGGTCCTCTTCGTCTGTCTAGTGTACGTCTGTCATGTTCATTGATATGTGTCTGTCTGCGTGTGTGTATGTGTGTACATGTGTCCGTGCGCGCCTGTGTGTGTGTGTGTGTGTGTGTGTGTGTGTGTGTGTGTGTGTGTGTGTGTGTGTGTGTGTGTGTGTATGTACATGGGTGTACATTTCAATAAAGAAAACTACTCGCAGTGCATGGACAAGTTGACAGGCTAAACAGTCTCTCAAACATGATACATGTGTGAAGTAGGGGTGAAACGGTGAAACGATTACACTTTTCAACTATCGGTTAACCTACCCTTGTATCGATTCGATTATCGATTATGATATCGATTACTGCGTCCTAGAATTTCGCACAACTTGACACAACGCACCATCAAGGTTTTGAATTGAGATGCTGAGTACAATCATTTTGAGTGCAGTGGCACATCACGTGCAGGTGCAGTGCAGACAGTCAGTACAATAGTGCGCATGTGCACTCTAGATCTACAGCGCTGGCAACCTTCACACTGACTCCCTTGGCGGCGCACCATCAGTGTGAAGTGTTGAGCTTGCGTTCAAAGCAAATTAGGTTGTGTTGACAATCACTGTAGTCTATACAGCAAATCATAATTATTATGAATTTAGTATTCAATATTGGTATGCGTAGTGAACAACTCTAAATGACACTGCAATACTGAGACAGATTTAACGAATGGAGTGTCGGCGAAGTGATTTCTTGAAAGGCCAAACGATGCTTCTTGGTGTTGCCTCCACGCCGTCGAACACGAGGAAGATTGCCGTCGTCTGGGTAGATCTTCATCATCGTTGGGGACAAGCCGAACACACTATGACCAGCTAGGCAGGGCCTAACCATTGCCACGATGCTGCATTGAGCCATCTTGCCATGGTCAATGTGGAACTTGAGCTGAGAATTGTTGTATGCTGCTGCATTACCGAATCTTCCAGGCAAGCCAATGTCGACGAATGTGAATAACCCGTCGCTATCAACGCATGCCAGTGGCGCCATCAGAACAGGATACCCCTTATAACACCAGTATACGTCACCAAACTGGTCCGGTTTGACTGTTCGCAAGAGTGTCCCGTCTACAGTGCCAACAGCAGCACATTGAGCTAGACCACTGCAACTCAACTGTTCTATTTCCGCATCATCTTGTGCAACTCTCGTCTGGCCGGAAAACTAATGACGTCCCTTGCGAGTGGAGCATACACTGATACAGTGGAGCATACAGTGGAGCATACACTGATACAGTGCAGCAACAGTGCAGCATACAGTGCAGCATACAGTGGAGCATACACTGATACAGTGCAGCAACAGTGGAGCATACAGTGCAGCATACACTGATACAGTGCAGCAACAGTTTCATCTACACTTACACCAATTGCAGATGGCCAGATGGCCCCATGTGGAACTATGCAGCTAAGTTAAAGTTATTTCTTGAAAAAGTTTCTCCCCGAAAGGGGTCGTACATGTCCATGTATAGGGAAGCAACTACCATTCTCTTTGACCCAGAGATCGTCCGTCGCAGTGTCGCAGGCAAGTAGCCTGGCATTGAATGAGATGGCCATAGCGATGTACTATGAATCAGAACGTGATCTGGCTCATTCTGAAGTTGTTCCTCCATGCTTTTCTCCGCCATCTCAGTGATGTCCCCTTCGTGACTTCTTAGGTACCTATGTATCGCAAAAGCTACAAGAAAACCAACACCGATATTCATTAAAAAAAATAGGCTGTGGCGTTCTTAGTACTTTGAATTATTTTGGGCTGGGTGTTCTTTAATGTGGCAACTTTATACTGTATCTCACTTTTTTCTTTTCTAATCCGTGATGAATTTCACACGTGCATGTGTGCTTGTGCAGTTCATGAACGACAGGAAGAAGAAAAAGAAGAAGAAACACAAGGATGAGAAGCGTAGTGTGTTATCCGGCAAGAAGATTAAGATGAAGGTCCACAAGACCGATGAGGATAAACAGGTCAGAGTGTGTATATGTTGTGCTGGTGGTGCTGAGACTGTATCTATGGTTTTTTAAACTACTTCAGTAGATGAGACAGGCTTGTACTGCATGATGTGCTGTCTGCATGGGGAGTTCTCACTGTCCGCCATGTACTGCATGATGTGCTGTCTGCATGGGGAGTTCTCACTGTCCGCCATGTACTGCATGATGTGCTGTCTGCATGGGGAGTTCTCACTGTCCGCCATGTACTGCATGATGTGCTGTCTGCATGGGGAGTTCTCACTGTCCGCCATGTACTGCATGATGTGCTGTCTGCATGGGGAGTTCTCACTGTCCGCCATGCTACCCAAGAGGAAAGTCACGTGGTGCACACTCTTATGACTTGATCACACATTTTTACTTAGGCGAGACCAGAATAAAATCGAGACTCCCGGGCAGGACCCATGTGAAATTGGTGCGGGCGGGCGAAGTGTAAACTTTTTGTTTTTTTTTATTTTTTTCCTATGTACATATGCATGGCATGCGGCATGCTGAACTTTTTTTTACAGTATTTCCTGTTAATTTTATTGTTTTTTTACAGACAACGGATACACTTTTTTTTTTGTATTTCAGCCAACAACAGCCCTGAGGCTGATTGAGGCGTACATCAGGGAGTGGTATAGGCCCGGTTTGTGTGACAGTCTCGCACACTACTCGTACTCGCGCCATCAGTACTGTACTACCGTATTTCCCCGATTATAAGTCGCACTTGATTATAAGTCGCAGCCCATTCTCACGTCCGAGCCAAATCGTCTCAATGCATTCACATAAGTAAGAAGTCACACTCGATTGTAAGTCGCACCCCATTCTTTGCCCCTGATGTTTAGTGTAAAAAGGTGCGACTTACAATCGGGGAAATACGGTATATGAACTGTTCAAAAGAACAAACAAAAAAACCTGATTTTCGTCCAGGAGGGCCCGGGAATCTCTATTTTTTGGTCTCGGCTAATACTGTCTCGTGTTTTTCTTTTTCTTTGCTCCTTTGCAGCGCGATGAGACACGTGGCAAGCTTCTCCAGTTCTTGAACGCAACCGTCTGACATTGATTGTGCATGCTCGCTTCTTTTGAATGATAGACCCTCTCCACCTCCCTTGCCGGTTTTCACAGTGTCTCTCGTGAACAAGACTAGATCAATCAGTATTAGATGATAAAAAAAACTAAACCTGAAACCAAATTTCATGACAAAAATACGTTGCTCAACATAATGGTTGTTCTGACAATAAAACTTCTTGTATTCTATGGAATCACAGTGACTTGAAAGTACTTGTACTACCTTGCACAGTTGATTGTGGATCCAAAAGACAGCACTGGATTAATTATAGGTCCTATAATAGTAACCTTATATGTGGTGATGGGTCTGGAGTTCCAGAGACACCTATCTTCTAGACAGTAAAAAAATGAATTCAACTCAACGACAAAAGACTTGAAAAGAGGTATGTGTGGGTGTGTGGACTAGGATGTCATTTGCGGTCGTTGTCAGAATGAGCGCAGGCCTGGCCAGTACTGGAGTGTCATCTTGCAGGCATTGTTTTTACAAATATTTTTAAAATTTCATTTAAAAACCTAGGTGTAGTTGGAAGTGAACACAAAATGTCCGTCAATGACATAGTGGTCTAAACAATGTGCTTGAATTTACAGCAACTACACAAAACTTATCAATCAAGCTGTGGAAGAGAACCAGCTCTACACGAAATTGATAATTTGGGTAAACTGCAAGAGTACACCACGTGACTAGATATGAAAATAACGTTATCAGATTCTGGACGCTTGGATAATGATGTGATGCCGTCGTCATCTAGCTATCTAGGACAAAAACGATGGTTTGAACTTGAGTGGTGAGCGAGGAAGAACATAATCTGCAAAACACACACCACACACACACACAGCAGCAGCAGCGGCACAAACGGAACACGATAACACCGGTTCCCATTTTTCGATCTTTGAATCCACCCGAGGGTACAAAATATGGGAGCAAACTGTGTGATGATGCAAGCACACCCAGAAAGCATAAATGCCTGTACATTTCGGTGAAGTAGAATAAATACAGTGACATTAATACACCCACGCACAGCATAGTACTACCGTAAAGTACCGCCAGAGCGGTCACGTGCTCATGTGTACACCAGTCACCTGGTCACCGTGCCCGCAGGTTACAACTTACAGCCTGTTTGGGCACGTTCCTGTCACTCGAGTTGAACCTTTGAGTTGAACCTTGGTGTGAAAGTTGTAGCCTGCATGCACGGTGACCAGGCGACTGGTGTACGCACGAGCAAATGACCGGTTACTCAACTGTGTTCGATTAGGAATAAGGGCCGAACGCTGCATCGCAGCCTTTTCGGACCAAAGCCAGTCAAATGACCGGTTACTCAACTGTGTTCGATTAGGAATAAGGGCCGAACGCTGCATCGCAGCCTTTTCGGTCCAAAGCCAGTCGACTTAGCATCCAAAAGACTACAACATATGGGCCATTCACGGTCATCCATGCTTTTATAAGAACGAAATGGCGCTTTTAGTGACATTTTACATACAAATCGCATTACTAGGGCGCAATCACCCAATTTCGGTGGCAGTGGCGAGTTCGATTGGGAATAAAGGAGGAGGGGAGCGTCTCAGTTTCCTCGAACCAAGACCATTCGACTCAGCACTCGGAAGACTACAACTGGTGAAAACTTGATTTTAGGGTATACAAGTACTTCGAAGTACTTCCCCGTTAACTACCATATCACTGGCTTCTCATGGTTCTCTTTACTGTAAAGTACCGCCAGAGTGCCCCACCTTGATTGTACAGCCAGAGTGCCCCACCTTGATTGTACAGCCAGAGTGCCCCACCTTGATTGTACAGCCAGAGTGCCTCACCTTGATTGTACAGCCAGAGTGCCCCACCTTGATTGTGCAGCCAGAGTGCCCCACCTTGATTGTACAGCCAGAGTGCCTCACCTTGATTGTACAGCCAGAGTGCCCCACCTTGATTGTACAGCCAGAGTGCCCCACCTTGATTGTACAGCCAGAGTGCCCCACCTTGATTGTACAGCCAGAGTGCCTCACCTTGATTGTACAGCCAGAGTGCCCCACCTTGATTGTACAGCCAGAGTGCCTCACCTTGATTGTACAGCCAGAGTGCCCCACCTTGATTGTACAGCCAGAGTGCCCCACCTTGATTGTACAGCCAGAGTGCCTCACCTTGATTGTACAGCCAGAGTGCCCCACCTTGATTGTACAGCCAGAGTGCCCCACCTTGATTGTACAGCCAGAGTGCCCCACCTTGATTGTACAGCCAGAGTGCCTCACCTTGATTGTACAGCCAGAGTGCCCCACCTTGATTGTACAGCCAGAGTGCCCCACCTTGATTGTACAGCCAGAGTGCCCCACCTTGATTGTACAGCCAGAGTGCCCCACCTTGATTGTACAGCCAGAGTGCCCCACCTTGATTGTACAGCCAGAGTGCCTCACCTTGATTGTACAGCCAGAGTGCCCCACCTTGATTGTACAGCCAGAGTGCCCCACCTTGATTGTACAGCCAGAGTGCCCCACCTTGATTGTACAGCCAGAGTGCCCCACCTTGATTGTACAGCCAGAGTGCCCCACCTTGATTGTACAGCCAGAGTGCCCCACCTTGATTGTACAGACAGAGTGCCCCACCTTGATTGTACAGCCAGAGTGCCCCACCTTGATTGTACAGCCAGGGAAAGGAAAATCGTATGGCAGAGTGCAACGAAGTTTGTACGGTGGGAGCCTAAGTGTACTAAGGTCACACTTAGCGGGGTTTGTGTGGAGGTCGTGTCCGCTCGAAGGCACGGATTGACTGCACAACGCGCAATACGTGTACAAGGTTTGTGTCGTATGACCTACAGACAGGAGGCCACCTCCACAATACGACCACAAAAGGGCAAGATGGTGGGGCACTCTGGCGGTTATTTACGGTACTTGCAAACTTACTTGTGTCAGTTCGTTCGTTGCCTCCATCACCATCATTATCATCATCACCATCATTATTCTCAATGAGAATAGTAGGGTGAGACTTGGCTGCTGCAAAAGCTTTCCGAAGGCGCTCCTTGCGAAAAGCAACCGGTTCCTCAACACCACTTGATGATAAGCGGTGACGGCTTGACGTGGCTGATGTTGCAGCGCTTTTCGTACCAGGCAGATGGTAGAAGCGGCAAGAACTGCCTTCTCTGCATACCTTTCCTGTGAGAGAACTCATGCATACTTCAACATGTTTCTTGGCGCACTGCAAGGAGAGAAGAGAAAAGAAGTCGCCACAATAACAAAATACAAGACTGAGCGCGACACTGCCAAACGCCCTACAATAACTATAAACCGACTACCACGTGAATGAGAACACGTTGGACAACGAATTACAATCATGACAGATAACTCACACCATTATCAATGTGTGATTTTACTGGTTCATACAGGCGACTCCACTAATAACGAACTTGCATATAGTGAATTTCGTGATAATCAACGTTATAGCGAAATATTGCCGATGTCCCTGTTTGAACCCATACCAAAATTGACCCTTTGTAGCGAACAGTTTTCGTTTATTACGAAGAGTACATAACCCCCAGAGTGTGCAACACCGGATCCATCTCTGCATAGGGTCTTTGTCGAGCGTAATCGGGCCTGTGCGTCATAATACCGTACACATCTGAGGGGAACCCGGGGAGTCGCGGGTACTCTAGGATAAAAAAACAACGGTGCCCTGCCTCGAGACCGGCCTTGCGCTGGTGTGGAGTGTACGCATGACATCAGAAGATCCGATTACGCTTGACCAAGACCCTGTGCAGAGCTGGATCAGGCGTTGCACACTCTGGGGGGTGTATGTACTCTTGTTATTACTATTAATCATAATCTTGTAGGGCCGTATGTAAACCAAGTGCACTCATACAGCCATGGGCCACATGTAAACCAAGTAGTTCAGTGCACTCAAACAGCCATGGGCCACGTGCCAGTCATGACATGTTACTTGTACTGTGTGAGTGCGTGAGTGTGTGAGTGTGTGAGTGCAGTTCTGTTAAGTGTTATAACGAACTTCGGCTATAAAGAACTCCTGCACAACGGTGTTCGTTACCAGGAGTCAACTGTAGTTAGACATGTATTCACATTGGTTGCAGCATGGCTAGTATACCTTCTCTCCCAGGGGACAGTTACCATCCAAGAAATCCTTGCATGGCGATGCATCTTTGCTCACATTGACGTGAGCGTAGCGACAGTTATCCTTCGGGCAGCTACCTTGAAGGAAGAAGTTACATACTGGTACCTAGAGAAACACACAACAATCACGACAACGACAACAACAACAGCAACAACAACAACAACAACGTCTAAGGTAGAGTGGATGAAGCTTCATGGCCCATTAAAATACTATCAAATCCTCCCTGGTGTGTACATACACTGTAGTCTTGTTCCTGTGCTGCTGTGCCCACTCACACTAGTGGTGACCATGGAAACTGCTAAGGGCAACTACCGGCCCTGTAGTAATGGCAGTAATGGCAGATCTGCTCTCTTTTTTTAGTCTTTCTCTTTCTACTATGAACACATCCCTACTGGGAAACATTGGATGACAAGTTGACAACAGAAAACAAGACAAACGGGGGATGTAGGGACGATGTGTCGATAGCAACTCGACCGACCAGAGGTCTCTGTGTTGGCGTTGCTCTGTACACATTCTACTGGCATAGCATTGGCATAGCATTGGTATAGCATTGGCATAGCATTGGTACTTCAGTGTGTGCGTGTGTGCTGTACTGACCTTATTCTTTGAGAGAGTGTGAGAGAGCAGGCACTCCTCAGCACTTTTGTCACAGAGTCCTTTCAAAAACCTAGACACACACACACACACACACACACACATGCACACACACACACACACACACACACACACACACACACACACACACGTATACCGGTATTTTAGTGTAAACATGAAGCCCATGAAGGATAGCAAGAGGCTACTCAAAGTAACCACCTCACTAACACAGTTCAGCCAGCAGGGCTGAGGCAGCCGACATGTGCCCTGTGCTGGAGTCTACAGCTAAAACCTGGTCAGATCAGGGAGTAACCTTACATGCAGAATGCCTGGTGCCCAACGTTGCTAACTCTGGACTGGTGACAGGGACTGCCAATGTCTTCATCAGAGTTTCCTGCCTACAGCTGTAATTCAGGACATCCTAGCACAATTGTACATGCAGCAGCATTGACTGCTTAGCTCAGTGGTTAGAGCATCACTGGCCTCAAGCCAAGGTCCCGGGTTCGAGTCCTGGTGCCGGTGACAGTCAATTTTTTCTTCAGACTTTTCCCGTTTGCGTCTTTCCCTCAAACCAGTGAGTACACGATTGTATTGATCAGAATATAAGTTCAGAGTCTGGAATCAGCGTACCTGTGCATGTACATATGTCAGCAAGTTAGCCAAGGTGCGTGCTCATTCGAATGTGCACACTGTGTACATTGTACTTCAGGATAGTCACCAGCACAACTCTGACCAGAATGTATCAAAGCTTTTTCTTGACACACACACACACACACACACACACACACGCACACACACACACACACAAAAGTCTTACTGTGAAACAGACGTTTGTACGCACACACGCATACATGCATGCCATGGCATTCACGCTACTAACTGTTACTTACTTGCGGCACACAGCAACTTTGTCACGGTCGTGCACATACATACACTTGACACCATTGCGACAGTGGCCTGTACACGACACACGAAACACAAGAAGACAACCCAAGAAGAGAATTACGAATGGCAGCGGAGGCTCAACGAATGGTTGTGTTTCTGAATTTACAGTACTACCTGGCAATTTGCCGCAAATAAAAAAAGCAAAGTTCGCACATCCGCGTTACCACTGGCTAGCTATACAATTGTGTTGAGAAACACACCCACCATATCTGATTACTAGTATACCAAGGTGGCAGATGATACAGTGCCTAGCGGTGAGGGCGAGGTGGTAAATCTCATAACCAATGCCCGATAAGGAGGGGGGGGGGGGACCTCGTTAGCTGCATCCATGTTACCCTCACTCCGAGTAGTGAATACATAGTTGACTGTGGGTGTTGGCGCAGTTCATTGTGTGTAAAGTGGTTCATGCATGCATCGCTGCATTTGTTAGCACAGTACCCGCCCGCTCCCAGCTGCCAGCGCAGGTCTCAGCAGGTCGCAGCAGGTCTCGAACTCGGGGGAGGGGTTTGTACATGTAGTTGGCAAGAGCACTAAAAACCTTGATCCACTGATCCACTGATCCACCGATCCACTGATCCACTGAGTGCGTTCCATTACACACTTGAATCAATTCATGAATCCGTTCGCATGCATTCAAGTCGTTCGATTTTCATGTCATGAGCCCTGGAATCGATTTGGAATCGATTCCACCGATTCACATGGGTTGATGTGAATAGCCACGGGCGATTCTGGTTCACCCAGGCAACGCAGTGGCGGGAAAAGAAGCCACGTGTTGAAAAGTCATGACGGTACTAAACTGGTCCGCCACATGCACATGCACACAACTCCACCAAACCTCTTCCAGCAACAAAATAGGGGAAAGGCAAGATAAAGGAGGGAGAAGAAAATACTGGCGAAAATCATTCATAGAATAACTGGGCAAAGTTGCTTCAGCAAAATTTTTTACTCTTGGCACTGCTGCGCTCCGGTAACAAGCAAGGATCATAAGCGGAGCAATATCGCACCGAGCAGGGAACAGCATTTCTTCTGTCTCGTCATCATCAAACAGCGTCCAGATCCAAGGGATCGGGAATGCCTCGGCATTGTCCATTTTTTAGGCAACACTTAGCGTCAAAGGAAACATGGAATCTTCTACATGCGAAAGTGACTACATCATGTACAATGAAAGAAAAGCGACGAGAAGAAAGTCAGTATCAAACAGCAGTTTTTTCTGCGCAATCAACGACTTACGGCCCTTTTCCTGAAAAGGGCCGTAAGTCGTAGATTGCACGGACCTTTTGTTCAACGTCACGACCACGTAACCAAAAGTCTCATTGCGATTCACCATGTTCACGCCGTTCGATTACTTGGAAGAAAATACGCACTTGAAGCGATTCACGAATAGATTCATGAATCGATTCAAGTGTGTAATCGAACGCATTCACTGTGTGTGTGTGTATGCGTGCGTGTGTATGTGTGTGCACGTGTGTGCGTGTATGTGTTTGTATGTGTGTGTGTGCCGTCTGCAGTGGCTTGGGCATGTCGCCAGAATGCCAGATAACCGGCTTCCGAAGCTGATACTGTTTAGCTTCTTCTCAGATCCACGCCCAGCCTGTGGGCCACGACTGCGATGGAAAGACCTCGTCGCACGTGATCTTCGTTTCGGTGGCATAGTGAATTGGCTCACTTTGGCCCAGGATCGCCCAGCATAGCGCGAGGCAATTGCAAAGACTCCGGATAATCTCGTGGAGTGCAACAACAACAAAGTCACCTACAAGGTTTGCAACCGATCATTCACTGCTCATGGGATTCACCGTCACAAGTGCTCAGCTGTACGGTCCTTACCTGTTGCCCAGCAGCCTGGGGCCCGTCACTGAGTTGTTTCAACGAGATGCAGCCTGAATTTGGACTGCTGCCAGCACCATTGCTCGA